TCGGCAAATGGGTTTGAGGGATCATCGGACAATCGTCCATCGACTGAAATAGTGTACTTAGATGAAGAGTGATTTTTGGTAAGTTTCTATACTTTATTTTACTTATTAGGATACCAGCTGACGTTGTAAATGCATTTATATAACTTATATATAGAACTTACTCTCATCAAATAATCTTCTGCATATTGCCTGTTGTTTTTTTATATTCTATCATATTTTCAACTTTCATAGATTTCCGAAACATTCTATAGGATTTACGACGATTTTTTGTAGCACTTTTATAGGCATTATAAAAAAAGGAACTAGCGGTCATTTTGGTATTCCTGAGGTTATCGGTATCGATGCCTTGGTAGCTTCTATTATCGTATTCGTAATTGTTTCGCACCCCTTGTCAATGCAGATATCAGATGGTGAGATTTTAGGTGATGGGACCAAGGAAGAAAAAGGAGTCTGGCTTTTATACGTGTGTTATTTACATTTGTAAATTTGATAAGCAGCGGAATGTGATCACTACAGTACAAATCAGGTAAAACTGTCCAGTGGATCGATTACTGAGAAAGAGCTATAGCTCGAACTCAGAAAGGTAGGTTCTCCCGTGTTTATCTCCCGTGTGTTTAGTAGAAGGTTTGAAATGTCTATAAAATTTTCTGTTATTTTACCTCGGGCGTTAAGCTCTTTGGGCCTCCATCAAGAATAATGGCCGTTTAGGTCACCCACAAAAAGCACAGGATTGGGAAATTGATTGTAGATATCTAAGAGATGCTGTGAGTCTATTGTACGACCCTGCGCCTAGTATATATTGCAAATTGTAAGTGTGAAACCTCGGTGGACTTTTAATGCAACAGTTTGAAGTTTGAAGTTTAGTGTAATTTGTTCAGAATATCCGGATTAGCGAATAGCTATCAAAACGCCTTGATGACCATGGTTTGAGTTTGAACTATCCTTTCTGCATATATCGAAGTTTCTTAAAGTAAAATTGTCTGTTATTGTGAAGTGATCTCTTGAGGGGCACGGCAAAAAGGATCTGTGTCATGTAACAAAACCTTTAAATCATTGAAATGAGATTTTAAACCATTGCAGTTCCATTGGAAAACTGAAAGATTTAGGTATTGTACATATGTAACACCAACAGGCCAACACATAAGAGTAATAGATGTAAGATGGTGAATATTTATTTGTAGAAATAATAAAAGTAAGAAGAAGAAAAATATTAATAATATTAGGTAAAAGATAAATTAATGAATAAATAATAGTTATAGTAATAATCGAAGGAGTGGGAGATAAATGGTTAAGTGAGTAATTAATTGATAATGGGAGATAGAATAAAAATAATATAAGAAAATGAGAATTAAAATATATACAGCAATGGGTGCAGTTAGTAGCATTTAATTGTAGAAATAATCCCTTTTCCGCTTGAAATACGTGAAAATAACTAAGCAACAACAAAAGGCAAACAACAATGGATAAATAATAGATTTAGTCATAATAGTAAGAGAAAGTGAATACATTAGTGAATAGATAATTTAGTGGAAATAATATAAATGAAAATATAGAAGGAAATATAAATATATATAATGTAAATAAAGTTCATATAACATCATAAGCAATATATACATCCGATATATAAAAGAAAATACAAATATGTATACGTGCACATACACACGAATGTGTAGGTGCACCCACATACACATAAATACACTCACAAATACAAACCATACAGACGTATACACACATATACATCGAAATATAAACATAAATGGTATAAGCACAGATAGGAATTAATAGTGAACTATATGTCAACACAAAAGACTCATTTAATGTCATTGTTTTTTATTAGTTGCCGTTATATTTGTTTTTATTCTAATAAAACCCTCCTCGTCGACAGTCATCGAGGCAATCACTTCATCAGGAGATGGAGTTGTTAAACACACGGTTTTAAACAAAGGAGTGCTTGAAGCAGCAGAACCAATATCAGTGGTGGGGGAGGGGGTGGAGAAACGGGGGAGAAGGCGGCGGGTCCTTGCAGCGACTACGACTTCTGGTCTGAAGCGTAGAGCATAGAGCATAGAGGCCGAGAAGGTGGGAGGAGTGGAGATAGTAGCGAGAAAAAGTAAGGCGTAGCCTGTTGTTTATTTACTTCAATAATAACAAAATTTACAGTTTGAGTATCATTATCACTTAGGTCATCTTTAGCACCATCTTCGTGATGTTTTATATTATTATTTAAATTTTCTCCAAATATGAATGGGATATCGACTTGGGTACCCATTTCCTTTTTTCCAACATTATTTATTTTTTCTTTAGTTAATTCAGCAAAAAAAATATTTAGAATATTTGCGTATCGTACTTTTACACGGTGGGCCAGACCACCTTACCGTGCACTCCCCCCCCCCCCCCCCCCACATCCCTATAAATTGCATATCGTTGTGTTCCTTGTAACTTTTTATTAAAAAAAAGCCAATGTTCCCACAAAAAAAAGTGAACGCACTGCCCCAAAATGGCGTCCAAAGATGGCGGATTGACGACTTTGACTTTGGTTAGTTTTTTGGTCACTGAGAATCAGCATTTGGCTTAATTTCCTCATAGTTGGTCTTTTATTAAAGCTGAATAATCATAGAAACATCTGGAGAATATATTTCTCTTTCTAAAACGCTGATTATTTTTTAGAAAGTTTTAAGCAGATCCGTAGAAAATGCACTTATGCGGCAGAAAAGCAGTACTGCCAACAGGCCTCTACCACACCATTCAGTACACATAAATGGCTTAGTTATAGTGATATAATAACATTTTTGGTACATTACATTGGTTTTGTTAACGAACAAATATTATTGCAATAATTTAATTGTAAAAAAAAAATTAAAATTTTAAATTTTTTTTTTTTTTTTTAAATTGAACCTCCTTTATTCTATACGTTGGTCATTTAAGAAGACCTCAATTGTAAAATGATATAATTATAATAATAAAACTTAATTAAAAAATACTTTGCTAAATATCTTGATTTTTTTTATTTAACGTTTGCAATTTAACACTGTGTTTTGTATATTTACTGATTCTTAGAGGTAGTAAAATTTGTATATACTTCCCAGGACATGAGTCATATTAATACCTGTTTCATAAACTAAAATAATATATACCTAGTCTGAGCTATATATAATGAATAGCTACCGGGTTGTTTAGTAAAACCGCGAAATTAGACCAGAAAATTGGAAAAATAAATTAAGCGAACGAGAAAGGAAGTGCCAAAACCTCGGAAAAGATAAAAAGGACGGGTATCCATTATATAGCTAAATGAATGTTTAGTAGAAAGATGAACAGAATATTTCAAGATGCTGCTAAAAGGGGATCAATTGCAGTTTGGATGATACTGAGTGGACGATATGGTGAAAACCACTTTATTTTCGATTGCTGAGGGTGCACATCGGAACTACCTTCACATTGAAGCAGGATATAGAGAGGTATATCGAGAAAGTTATAGCTCATAACTCTCCTTCTGTTTTTTAATATTTCTTCTTTTTATTATTCTATGACTATTCAGCTTTAATAAAAGACCAACTATGAGGAAATTAAGCCAAATGCTGATTTTCAGTGACCAAAAAACTAACCAAAGTCAAAGTCGTCAATCCGCCATCTTTGGACGCCATTTTGGCGCAGTGCGTTCACTTTTTTTGTGGGAACATTGGCTTTTTTTTAATAAATAGTTACAAGGAACACAACGATATGCAATTTATAGGGATGTGGGGGGGGGAGGGGTGCACGGTAAGGAGGTCTGGCCCACAGACTATTTATAATTTTTTTTTTTTTTTGCATCCATTAAAGATATTTTATTATTAATTTGGATCGATTTTATTTCTTTTTGCATTAGAAATATCGGACAATTGCGATCTAATCCGTGATGCATACCGCGGCAGTCAATACAGTGCGCGATATTTTTGCATTTAGAATTTTCCGCATACAGGAGCTTTCCACACTGTATACATATTGGCTGTTTGGTACACTTTGAACTTAAGTGGCTGTACCCAAGACAGTTCAGGCATCTTAGTGGCTTAGGCACATTGGCGCAAACTTCAACCATTTGATATCCACCTCTTATCGCTTTAGGCGCGTTGGGTGATGGGAATGTAACATCATAGCTATGAGTCGTTATTTCATTACCATTTATTTTTTATTCTAATAATATCTTTATAGTTGGGCCCATTTCCCTTTTTATTTCTTGAAAGTCGTATACTTACCAATACGTAAGATATTGGAAATCGTAAACTTTGATTATACCCTTACTATAATTAATCGTATAATGTAGAGTTATTTCAATCGGAAATCGTCCCCCAAAATTTTTACTTTTCATTAAGTTTGTAGATTGGGTATCTTTATAAGTCTCAATCAGTAGTGACCCATCGCTTAGTTTTTTAATATTAACTTTACCAACAAGCCCAGTGACGAATTTGTAAATAAAACAAGGAGAAACTTTTATAAAGTCTTCCTCATCGCATCTTTTAACAGTTAAGAAGGTTGGGCTTACTTATTTATTTCTTCCATTTGAATTTTATCCGGAGGATTTTTAATTCAACCCCACGTCTGTTTCTTATAGCTACGGGGCTAGTTTCTTCCATTTGTCCTTACACAGGCATAAAACTTAGTCTAAGTATAAGGGAAAAAAAGAAAAAGAAATACATTTTTTCCCTGTATAATTATAAACTAGACACAATAAAATAAAAAGAAACACTTCTATAATCTAATTAAAATTAATAAATGGAGAAAAAAAAATAAGAAATAGAAAAATAAGGTAAGCTTATCTGTCTGCGTGCGGGAATACTATTCTCTGCGGAGTCTAAGCAAACACTGTGGAATATTGATATCGGTAAAATGTATGCATAGATTTTCTCCGATTACAATAAAATAATTAAGGCATTTCAAAAATTCACTTTTTAATATATGTTAATTTTGTACTATAACATTATTAAATTTAAGAGATGCAACTAGTGAATTCATTTTATGTTTACTAGGTGATAGTCTTTCCGTGTCGAAATTTGGTGGCATTGAAACGAAAGATGAGGAATTAAGAAGACTGGAAATGGAGAAATCTTTAGAGTACAGCAAGTTAGAGAACATTGTTAAAAAACTCTTCCTCTTCAATGCTCATTTCAGTGATACCAATCAAGCAGGCGATTTGAGATGTGAAACTATTAAAGAAGATAAGAAACATTTTATGTATTACGAGATAAAAGGTAAAATTTTCCCTAAAAGGAAACCCGTATACGTCGCTGAAACTCTGTCGGCTGTAGGTATAAAAAAATACTTTGAGATCAGCGCTGAGGAAAATATATTCCGACTTATGAATAAATCGCAGAGTGTTACGCATATTTCGTTCAATAAACTAAAATATGAAGACAGATCAGTAATTGAAATTGACAATGGGAAGGCTGAACCAGCAAGTACAAATCAGCAGGAGGAGACTTTATTATTAATTACTCGAGGATACTTCATTAAGAATTATACTGTTAAAGAAATATCTTCAATGGATGTCACAAAAACAAGCCAGCACCAAATCCTTAACGTAACTTATTCTGGTTATGCACAAGACAAAATTGATAAAAACATGTCACAAAGTTTATTATTTAAATATGGAAACGAGTATGATTTGGATAATGATACAAGAAAAAACACAACCAACAGTTATACCATTCCCCATGATCCGAAAATGTTTGCCTCTAGATCATCCCAAGTCACTATAGAAACTCTACCAAGTTTTGATTCAAATTCTGACAGTACTGGTTTTCAAATTTACGAGTATGTTACAGAGTCAGTAAACGTACTACAATCTTCGGGAAACATAATTCCCTATTGGGATTCAACTTCTAAAGATAGTGACTGTTGCAAAGAAACCACACCAAGCACCACAAAAGACACAACACAAACATCTTCTAATGTTTATAACAGCAATCTGACAAAAAATAGAAATGAATCACATTTCACGGCTACATATCGACCGACCACTATACATTATGACCTTAAACTCCCTACGTATTCATATCTCACGTCTTTTGAAAGTCCCGATAAAGGTCAAAACATAACAGAGAACGATAGTAATAGTACAATAAAAGGAATTTTTACAAGTCCATCTATTAGTGATTTCAATGAAAGTAAAATTAATCAATCCCATTTTGTATCCCATAGCCATTCAACCTCATCTACCAGATCTTATCAATTAGCCAGTTCTCAAGCGATAATGGATTCAAACAAATTTTTTGATCAAGTTAATAATGATCCCAAACAATCTACAACTTTCAACAACAGTACCAACAAATATCAAATAGGCTCTACGACCGGAACTACGAAATCAGTTATTGGAAAGGGAATTTCTATTTTAAATAACAGTACAGAAAAGATTAAATTTGGAGAATCAACTTTTGCTCCAAGTATTTCGTTAAATAGTCCTTACCAAACTAATTTTGTATTCAATGTTTCGTCAACAACTCACAAAGATCTTCAAGATAACTTCCAAAGTAATAAAACTGAGACTAATATATCCTTTTATTTTAAACCCAATAATCTCACCACAGAAAGAAATTTACAGACAGATTATTTTCAATCATCCAGTGATATTGATCTTTCATATAATCCTTCGACGGTAACAAATGACAGTTTTTCTTCCAACTATTTCGGTAAAAATTATGAAACAAATAACTCTTCGAAAACTTTAGGCTATACTGATATGACCTCGGTCACAGATGGGAATAAATGGAACGATTCAAAAGAGCAATCAAAAATGTTTACACTTTTTCCCTCCAGTTTATCGTTAAATAAAACTACTGGGTCCCTCTATTATTTATATAATTCCATGGAAACAATAGAAACAATTTCTCCATCTATAAAAAATAATAATGTAAGTGATAAGAAATTGGAAGTCAATAAAAATGACGTTTCATTGAATCCATTAGATGGTACTGGAACTACACAATCAGTTATTGAAAAAGAAATTTCAATTTTAAATTATATTACCATGACCACTGAGAAGGTTACATTAGGAGAACCCTTGCCTACCAGATCTTATCAATTAGCCAGTTCTCAAACGGCAATGGATTCAAATAAATTTAGTGATCAAGTTAATCATGTCCCCAAGCAATCTACAACTTTCAATAACAGCACCAAAAAAGATCAACTGAGTTCCACAACGGGAACTACAAAATCAGTTATTGAAAAGGAAATTTCTATTTTAAATTATAGTAATATTACCAGTGAGAAGGTTACATTGGGAGGATTATCTTTTTCTCCAAGTGCTTCGTCAAATAGCCCTCAACAAACTAGTTCCGTGTCCAATGTTTCGTCAAGAACTCACGAAGATCTTCAAGACAATTCCCAAAGTATGAAAACTGAGTCTATTCCCTTTAAAAATCAGAAATTGGAACCTCCGACAAACACCACCATTGCCACTGAGAAGATTACATTAGGAGAAACCTCTCCTACTAGATCTTATCAATTAACAAGTTCTCAAGTGTCAATGTATTCAAATAAATTTACTGATCAAGTTAATGATACCCCCAAGCAATCTGCAACTTTCAACAACAGTACCGAAAAAGATCTACAGGGTTCTACAACTGGAACTACAATATCAGTTATTGAAAAGAAAATTTCTGTTTTAAATTACATTAACATTACCACTGAGAAGGTTACTTTAGGAGAATCATCTTTTTCTCCAAGTGCTTCGTCAAATAGCTTTCAACAAACTAGTTCCGCATTTAATGCTTCGTCAAATAGTTTTAATCAAACTATTCCCGCATTCAATGTTTCGTCAACAACTCACAAAGATCTTCAAGACAATTTCCCTAGTATGAAAACTGAGTCTATTCCATTTAAAAATCAGAAATTGGAACCTCTAACAAACGCCTACTATACTTCATCGGCAATCGATGAAATAAAAACATTTGATTATTTGACGTCTGAAACAGATATGATTACTGACAATATGTACGCTTCAACAGCAGAATACAACCCCTCGTTTTCTAGTTCATCTAAAAAAATAAGTGAAGATAAATTTTTTAATACTGTAACCTCCCCGTCTCCAAATAATTTAAGTAATGACAGTTTTAATCCGTATCTGTATACTTCTAGCTCTTTTATTAACAACACTGTACCCATCCCTGTAATATTCAACCTATCAAATCATTCGGAAGAGGTTTTTAATAATTCACAACCGAACAGTTCAAATTTCGGTTTCGAATTTGGAAATCGTAGCACACTGTCGTATGCTTTTAACAACTCCGAGAGCACTAGCTTTACGACAAAAAATTACCTTGATGAAGAATCAACGAATAGTGATAAACAGTCGAATAAAACTAGCGAAAAAGAAACCAATTATTCTGTTGTTTTTTCAACAGCATCACTTATTTACACAGTACATAACTTAAAAGAACACCAGTCTTTGGACTTTCAGTCTGAGAGCCCCGAATCTGACACAACACAAAATATTTATGAATTGAATGAAACGACCCATCCTGTATTATCCCATCATACTTATAATACTGAAAAATTGGAAGAACTTTCAAAAGAAAAAAACTTTAAAACATCTTCGCTAGCGAATTTTACATCAGGGCTTCCAGTCGACAAATCGAGTGTTTCATTAACGACTGCTATTGATTTGTTAACTGTTAATAAAGATGAAAAAAGCAAATTGTATGATTTTAATTTGACCGAAGGGTTGACTAGTTCTTACAAAAAAAGTACTAAAAATGTTTATAACAAAACATCTACAAGTGTTGAAAATAATTCATTAAACTACTCCTTACAACCACTTACTACACCGAGTGTCAGATACTTTGATTTTACTGATTCTAGGGATGAGTATAGCCCTCAATCGGATGCATTTATTCATAAAATTAATGGCAATGATACTAATATAGACGATAAAAAAACTGCAATTTCTGGCGACGCATTTACCCATGGTAGCAATACAAACTATTCTCATTGGAACGATCTATCAGTGACACAGCTCATTAGCTCATCGTCTGATTATGGAAATAAGTCAACAGGAGTTACCATTGCAGGCGGTAACGTTTATCATTCGAATTCACCTAAACACCTCTATGGAAAGTCAAGCCAACCATCAATCTATCATATGATAAACAACAAAACTGAAAATTTAATAGAGGCTGAGACCAATGCACATCATGACTTTGACGCTGCTTTGACTGAGAACAGCACGACTTCCATTGCAGACACTAATGAAGTTAAAAATATAATTGATCCATTGAGTGTAACTGAAAATTTGACTAGTAATATTCCACCTACTCCAGCAAATATAGTTACTAATCAAGGATCATCAATGTCATCATTGGAAAACGTTTATTCAACCCCTTTATTGGTTTCAGCAAAAGGGTATCTGAATGACTCAATAACTGAAATATCCTCAACTGAATCAAATATCGTATATACTAGACCTGGAAATATGAGAAATGATACGATTATTACAGAAACAAATGATACGAGAAACTCTTTAATAACTGGAAGTACTACAAACTTGGACGAAATTCAAACACTTATTCCAGAAAGGAATTATTCCGTTTTAACAACTAACCAGCCTTATAATCTAACCATCGAAGAAAGATATGATGAAGGATCTAACGAAGTTACTACAATGGAAATCCAAAAATACCGTTCGACTGAAAATGTACTTCTTGAAACCACTACACAGTCTCATGCAAATCCCCATACTCATTCAGGAGTGAGCGATTCTGTTATTATTCAAGACGATGGTACTAGTATTAATTTGACAACTACGACTTCTGTAGATACTACAAAAAATGCTAATTTTACTTACACAGAAAAAACCGAAACTACATTTAATATTAACAAAAATATTAGTGCTAAGCCTATCAATAAACCCGAAGATATTATCTTCAAAACAACTCCAAATTCTGTTACTCCAATCTCTATTCCAAAGATATATGATAAAACAAAGGATGAAAATCCAAAGATGAAAACAACAACGGAACGTGAAATGACTTCTTCAGAAAAAGACATTAAAACTTCAAGTACTAGCAAAAACATAATCGATTTTGAAATAAGCACACAAAATTATGAAACCATGCCATCCTTTAATAACTTCACATTCTTATTACCTACAACAGATTATCTCACTAGCTATCTTCCAGTACGAATACATCCATTCATAGTCTTCAGTGAAATTTAATGAAAAGAGCGGCGTTACATTGACGAGTAAGTTGAATGTACACCTAAATTTATCATTAATTATACATATCGTCACTACCACGGTTAAGTAACAAATGTGAAAAATTGGATTTTTTCATCTTCATATTTCATTGGCGCTATGGACCATAAAGGACCTTGACCTCGTGAACAATCTTCTTCCACTCAGACCGATCCTCTGCATCTCCTGTTCAAGTTATCACATTCAGTGACCGAAGATCACTCTCTACATCATTCATCCGTTGTGGCCTTAGTCTGCATTTTCCTCTTTTCCCATCTGGAAAACCAGTAGTCATATACTGTCCAGTCATCAAATTCTATTTAATGCAAGAAACTATTTCTAATTCCTAAGTCTTTAACTTCTGCATTTATTTATACGCTATAGCGATTTTCTTCTTTGGTTGTTGGGCTATATAATTGTTTGAATCATTCTCTCCCGTGTACTCAGCAACCGCTCCTTCTACTTGCTTAGGATCCAGGCCTGACTACCATTCATTACAACAGGACGAAGGACCGTCTTATATATTCTTATTTTGAGATTTCGGTGAATATCTTTATTTTAAAAGACCTTTCTGAATGACTGATATCATTTACTAACACTTGCTTTTATCTCTTCCACCATTTTGGTTAAAATTGTACCAAGATACTTGAACTTCTCCACACTAAGAAAGGAAATTTTGTGACTAATTACTGTTATTAATTTACCAAAAGAATTTTTGTGAAATGATGTCTTATGAACAAACATCCAAGATTCAGTAAACTTTAAACGTAAAATGTGAAGTGTTTCTTGGTCTCCTGGAAAATAGATGTTTTCGCATTCCTCAGTTTAACGTGGTGGAGACGATTTTATTAATTTTGTTTTCATACTTGTAGTAGTTATAAAATCAAAGAATAGGGTGAATCACGAGTTATTGTCACCTTACCACTTGCGGACAAGCTTATACCATTTTCACAATAATAAGAAAATACTATTTTTTATACTTCGATATATGTTTGTACTCATAATTCATTATCAAGCTGTTCCAACCCCTCCACCCCTTTCTTGCTGGCCTTTAAAATATTTGGTTTTACGAAATAGGATTAATTATGGTTTAATTGATTAATAAATTTTAAGGTTCGACATTTACCTTTTAATTTTTGGTTTCTAAAAGTTGGTTTTTAATGTTCTCATTAGGATTTCTGCTTTTAATATACATTCTATTTTTTTATCCTTTCGCATAAGGCTATTGTAATCTACACTATTGTATCTATTTATATGGTATAGAATATCTATACCAAATAAATTTAGTTTAATTTAATTATTTTTAATTGGCATTTTAATAGATGTTCAGTGGCGTAATATAAAGTCTTCGAACAAACCAAATTTTTATAAAAATGATAAATGTTTCAATTTAAAAATAGTTTTATCTTAATTGTAAACTGATGTAGCCTTGCAGATATTTTAGGTGTAATACATATTTAAATTAGCATTATTTTCAATTAGCAAGAAACCAAGGGATCAATCCGTTGTGTTGATATTATTTTCAGGGACTGGATATTGCTATATATATATATATAGTACTAAAATGATTGTATCGACTGTATTAACGAACAAATATTAATACAATAATTTACATTTTTTCTTTAATTGACATTTTTTTTATATTGTGGATTGATGGTTGGCAGTAGTGAATAATTGAAGAGAAGAATGACTGTGTTGATCAGTAAAAAAAAAATAATAGTAAAAATAAATAAATAATTATATATATATATATATATATATATATATATATATATATATATATATATATATATACTGGGTTTTTGAGAGTTAAGTGGCCAATCTGCAAAAATGAACTAAGGACCTCAAAACAAGAAAAAAATTTCCTCGGAAGGTATGTCCGCAAATGCATTGTTTAGGAGATATTCACTCCTGAAGATATTCGTTTTTATGAATTATATAAAATAAATAACGTTATATGAAATAAATAAAACCTATTTAAATAAGTACTAAATAAAAACTATTTTATTAATTAAATATAAATATCAACATTCATATTAAATCTTGTTCAAAGTGATTTACTTGAGCATTAAGACAGGCTCGGCATCTTTCTTCAACAGGGGCAGTGGCAGTACGGCGCTGGATATGTGTTATTGCTTCACAAGATTCTATTATCCTTCTTCGTAAGGAATTAAGGTCATTGGCCGAACTTGCATAGACTTTTTGTTTAATATTACCCCCAAACAAAAACATCTAGTGATGTCAGGTCTGGAGAGCGTGCAGGCCAAGACACTGGTCCTGCTCGGCCAATCCATTGGATACGATTAAGCAAGTCCGGTCCCTAGCGGATCCAGGATTTAATTTTAGAGGAGGGGCTTCAGCTCGACAGCTATTTTTTTTTTTTTTTTGTATAAGGATAATTAATTAGAAAAATAAAGTAAGTTACTAACTACCTATATGAAATGGTGTTTAAGTGATTCTTCAAGTCCTATTAAATGTAATTACGCGAGCAATAATACTTTAAGAAATAATTTTTAAATATTTTTTTCCATAAAGCATAATTACATTTTACCATTTTGGGGAGGTATTTCAGCCCGAAAGCTCGATAGTTCGCTTCCTGTTGGGTTAAGAAAAAATGTTTAGATAATTTTAAGATGTTTAAGAGTGAATATAACCATTTTTTTTTCCTATGTCGGTTTGAAAACAAGATATTTAATGTAAACTAAAAAAAGTTCGAAATTTCTATAGTTTTTAGAGCACTGCAGCGAATCGATAAGGCTTTCAAGGGCAAAAACTTGGATTTTCTATAGTCACTGCATACCTAACAATATAAAAAAGAAATTTGAATTACCCAACCTTTTGCAAGGTAGTCCCCCTTTTTTGTACTAATTTGACTGGGCTATCCGTGTTTTACTGATGGTTGTAAAAATTCATTTGAAGATTCCACTACAGATCATCTCTAACATAACACCTCCTTCTAGAATCAAACATTTTAAATTTTAATTCATCTCCACTTCAAATTTGTTTCCATTCTTCTTCCGTCCAATAAACGGTGCTAATAGCATTGTCTGTTTCGCAAGCCAGTTCTCTGCTAGATTTTTAGTGGTTGTACCTACACAAATAAATTAATTGTTGTTCAGCAGCAGGATTATGTTTTTTAAATCATCTTGAACGTTTCAAGTCTCAATTTTTCTCGTTTTTATAAAAACAAAATTGATGACATAATGAATTCCAAAAATAGAACCTTCAACTTTTTTTGATTTTCCTTGATAGAAAGTTTTTGTAAATGCAAAACTATAATTTTATGTCGGTCATAAATAAGATATTTTGCCATTTTCTGAAATAAAATCAACATGAAATAGAAAACATATAGAAATTGTGAATTATAGAATGTTAAATTAAATTTCTACAAAAAAGCGGAGAACATCAATATTAGAACAATTTTCACAGATACACTCAGCTTCCTATAGTTTATACAATGGCTTCTGATGTTAAAATATATAATAAAGACCTAAGTGGATAACAAATTAATGAAATTTAAACAATAAGATAGCAGTACCAGCCTCTGAAAATAACACCATCATTGATTTGTTCCTTGGCTTGTTGTTAATGAAATATAATGCTAATATAAATATAAATTACATCTACAATGTCTGCTGGGTTAAAACCAGTTTAGAATTACAAAGATCCACCACCAGTTTAGAATAAAAAAGAAAGTTAACAATATTATTTAATTACTCACTAATATTTTGTTTATTTAAAAAATTGTAAACTTTATTTTTTTTTTCTCCATGAAATGGCTTAATCATATCATCCACTAGTAAATTTATCAAACATTTTTTTTTTTCATCAAATATCAAAATATTTCCTTTAATGTAATATAAATTATTAAACAATCTAATTACAAAGATTTATTTATTCAGCTGTTCTTAACTTTAAGACTCAATTTGTCTATTGCCTTCATGGTTTTCAAGTACTTATCATCTGAAAGAATTACTGGGATTTCGATCAACTAAACAGTCAAGAATCAATATAATGATGTTATCAAATTATTAAAATAATAATTATGTACTTGCAGTTTTTCCAATTTGATGTATTGTAATTTTACCTTTTTTTTCATCACTGTAATTTTCAAAAGGTAATAAAATTATTTTTTTTTTTTCTGAATTAGTGTGAACAATACATGATGAAACTATATTAATCACCAGCATCAGCACAAAGACTTCAACCCTTAACAAAGGCTAAAAAATGTGAATTACATGTTAATGAAAGGTAAAACTTTTAAGATAGGTAAGTGTATAGCTTAAAAAAAAAATGGGAATTGAAAATATATGTATTTTATGTAAATTTATAATGACTGAATTATTGTAGAGTATCTTTGCAATTTTGCTAAAAATATAAATTTTTCTTTTTAGGTAAAATCATAATTTATGAGTAAATATATTCATGTTACTAGAAAATATACTTGAATGAAATTAACATAAATTATTCTAGTCATTGTTTAAACAATTGAATTGATCTCATAATATTAGTAAATGATTTGTCAAAATATATTTACAATTGTAGAAATATTCATATTCAGTCTTAAAATTTAGAGTAGCTATATTATTGGCAAGAAAGTAGAGAATAAATAGAGTTATGTATATTTTATATAGATTTATTAAATCATTGTCAGAGTATCTTTGTTATTTTTTCTAGATTATAAATCCCTTATGTAATAAAATAATGATTCATGAGTGGATATGTTCCTGTTACTTGAATAAAATACTTGAATGTAATGGGCATACATAACTAATTTAGTTACTACTTAAACATTGAAATCGATCTCATACTAATAAGAATTTAAGTAATGTTTACAATATATCAAAATCTATTTACCGACAAATTAAATCTTAAATTGTATATACCCAAAAACGCTCCAGAATACCCATACTCTTACTATCCTAACTCTTATATCTATCATGGGCAAAATCCTTGAAAATTCCTCACAATCAAACAATTATCAAATCTTGCTGCCTTTTCAATTCCTGATAATCCTCTGTGGCATCTGAAAAGAAGATGGCCTGGTGGTCTAATGTGGATATCTTATCAGAGCTACCAGTGGATAGTTTCTCTACAAATCTTTTCATGTCATTTTATTTCTCTTTTCAAATTAACTTGGTTTATTTTAATCTTAATGCAGTTGTAAATTTCATGAAAAAAAATACATAAACCAATCTATAACAAGTATGCCACAGTGTAAAAAGAAAAATAACATAAGAAAACTATAATTTTTTTTTAAAATCTCTATTGACAGAACAAAATAAGTTGACTCAATTTTACTTACTAAACCAATCTTTAGGACATGGAAAACCACATTAATGTAAAATTCCATTGATAAAAAATTAACTTAGCCCATATATTTGTTAAATTTATGTATTCATTAGGAATCAGAGTGGATTGTATGCCTGAAGTTTACTTAGTGATGTTAGGTAAGTACAAGGTAATCATAACCAATCAACATCATATTGTAGTCTCATAATCCTTGAAAAAAAATTAATTTAAGTTGAGCTGTCACTCATGTTACCAGTGCTGGCCTTAGGGTTGGGCAACCAGGAAAATTGTCCCGGGGTGCCAGCCGATATTCAGGGGCGCTAACCCTATTTAGAAATTTTAAAAAAAAATAGAAAATGTATTAAAACAATTAATGTTAGCCTACCAATAAAACAACTATATTAGAGAAATGTTGAATGAAATAAAATTCAAATTTTATATAATATAAAACAGCTCAAGAAATAAATTTAATTTTTTTAGAAGGAGGGGATAAGAGATATGATATAATTGCCTGAGGATGCCGAATGCCAAAGGCCGGCACTACATGTTACCATATAAAATACTTGAATGAAATGTACATAAAATTATTCTAGTCATTCTTTAAAATATAAAATATAATAAATGATTTAATCAGAACATGTGTACAAGAAATTCTACTTTCTTTCTTTTGTGTTTAGTGCTGAAAAACTAAAATTTAAACCTACTATTTCATCACAACAACTATTAATACATAATCAAAGCAATGAGACCTGGCTGATATTAAAGTCCAGATGTGATCATGGAGATTCATATGTATTTTTTATACAAAATTGTTTTTAATTCTAAATTCATGATGCTCATTAGATCATCAGATTGGTCCTCCCCCCCAAAATATGACTTCTAAGTTGGTTCTACAGGTTCTTGAGTCATAAAGTCAGGAGTATCATATGGTTGAGGTATAGCAACAGATTGGGGAAAGAGATTAAAACCAGCGTAAAAGTTGTTTTAATAATTTAAATTACAAGCCAGTTGTAATTTCGAATTCTATTTATTTGTCGATTTGAACTTGAAATTGTAGGAGAGAGGGTAAGATAAAATCTCACTTCAGGGACCTACAATCAACGAGAGGGTTTTGCATCAAATTTAGGCAATATGGGGTAAGTGCACATTTTATTTGAGAAAGTTTGACTATAACCAACAGTAAAATCTTTATTTTTTTAGCTGGATTTATCTTTTTAAAAACAAAAACATGTTCTTACAGCAATTATATTTAGATTATTAAATTCAAGATCAAGTTTCAATTTTATCCATTTTTTATGAAATTAATAAGTCAATTTAGTAGTCCCTAGTAAGCATTTGGCTCTGCCTTGTGTTGCATATTATGCAGTAGGGCATGTTGAGGGACAAGTATAAAATAGTTGAATTTTATATGATTATTTTACTGAAGTAATTATCACAAAAATTTAATATTTGCCTGTTATTCAAATTCACAACTATAAACGATATTTGTGAAAGTAGGATCTGAAACATAATTGAATTATGTATTGTATTGGCAACTGTTTATTATTTTACTTTTGTTGCTGATTTGTAAAACATCAGTGTAGTGTTGGCCTTAAACATTTGGCAGCCCATGGCAATGTTGTCATTTCCCCCCATAAAACATTAAATTTATTTCTCAAACTGTTAATAATTATGTAATATTTAAAGTTAATTTTATTTAATATTTTTCTAATACAGTTGCTTTATTAATGGGCTAAAATTAATTATTTTTAAACATTTTGTATAGTTTTTTTAAATTCTTAACAAGTGGAGATTACCCTCTGATGATCGGCGCCCTAAAAGAGCAGGGTGGCGAGCAGGGGAAATCGCAATTGCACTCATTAGTGACTGTAACACAATTGAAACCCTACTTATGTATATAAATGTAACTAGTTCAATGTTTCTTTTAAAATTTAAAAAATAAGTAAATGTTGTATGTGACTATAATATTTTTTATGGATCCTAACACTTAATGTCATATGAGGACCTTTAATCTTTACATCAATGTATATTATTTTATTTGAGCTATTAAATTATATGAATTAAAATTATATTAAAAAAAAAAGAAAAGTTATTTGTGAAAATCATTTTAGGCTATAGTAATCTAAATGAAGGTAGTCAAATCAAGTATATCTGATAACTTTTCCTTTTAAAATTTCAATTATATTCCAGTCATTTCTTGGTTAGAATGAATAATTTGAAAAGAAAGAGGTAACTTAAAAGGGTGGTGAAGTATAATTTTAAAATGCATTAAGTGTATTTTTCTTATCTTTAATTCTATACATCATTTTTTACACATTGTTATAACATTGCAATATTAACTTTATTTACATTCTTTCAGATAAAAATCAGGAAAAGTATTTAAAAATCTGCTTAACAGATTTTTTTTTATCAGCTTTTATTTCTAACAGTTTGAATTTCACTAATTAATAGTATTATTATTTAACTACAACAGTATGAAAGATTTATAGTTGACATGTATACAAATAATCGTAATAATGAAAAAAACATAACATGCATTTTAATAATATATTCAGATTCACAGTTAAAATCATGATTCTTATAAAAACCACAATGCTCTTAACTTAACAATTCATATATATTTTACATTCAATAATATATTTTATAACAATTTCCTTCTCAATGTTGCAGTGAATGTTATTAAAATTTCTATAAATTTTGAAAAAAAAAAAAAAAATTCTTTATTGATAATAAAATGCCAAACAGTTTTTACATATTATTTGAAATATATTTAAAAAAAAAATCATTTTTGAAAACAAAAAGATTAAAACTAAGATCTAAAACTTTATTCAATGAGGCAATTTTGTCTCTACACTTAGTTTACATTAAAAATCCATTAATTATAATTCAAGCTATATTTTTCATTTATAAAAGAGAGATAATTTATCAACAGTTCAATAATATATTTACATCACATTCATCATTTAATCATTATTGGGTAATTAAATTCACAAAATAATTTAATAAATTGCAGTTACATCTAGGAAGTTCATTGCATTTGTAGTAATCTGATTCCAATCTTTGTAAAACATTCCAGCAATGCAATAAATTTATCCAATATATATTAAATAATTAAAATTTATGCTATATAGAAATCTTATCATATGTACCTTGCAGGTGTTACAAAATTTCTGTTGCATATATGGAATCAGATTATGAAAACAAATATTTTATAACTTATCACTTCACACATTATTTACAATTAGGAACAAGTGGTAAAAAACACACAATATATTTCACAGTTATATTTACAAGAGAAGACTACAGGCTCATTGTTGGTAACAAACGCTATTTCGTCCATGCTTAAATATCACAGCTAACTGGCATTGGTTTTAAAACTTTTCTTCTTCTTCAGGAAAGGAAGTATAATTTTTTATCAGTAGTTTTTGTATTCAAAATATCTTTTTAGAGTAACAAATAAAATGACTATTTAACTAACAAACATAAAATCAACTAATTTTTGAGCTTTACAATATAATATGATAAATAAATAATAAATATGGATGTAGTTATTCAACGATTCAGGTTTTTTTCTACCTCAGATTTTAATTCTGAAAACTAACAAAGTAATACATTTCAAATCAAGACACAGTTAGAAGATATGTAAAAAGAATCAATCTTTTTTATTTATTTCAAAATTCAGTCTGTACAAAACAAAAATTTTAAATCTGTAATAGATATACAAATATGTTGCTGTTTATGTTTAACAAATATAATTAAACACAATACGGTGTTTAAATTTATCGTTATTGACATGTAAATTATTTCTTATTGATCTTCAGATGTATAACTTATTTCTTTATTTAAAACTTGATAAATACTATATTAAAATGTGTTCAAGTATTGATTTTGATTATAAAAAATAGTTTTGCTAAGATTCTCTCTCCTTTCTGATTAATAGCTTATTAATAATTAATCTTGTCAAAATAAACATAATATGATTTACACATATAAATGGGGAAATAAATAAAATTTGAAATCCTTTAATTTCAAATAAGAATCTTATTGATACTATTTTTAGGCTTGAAATTTTGTTATAAAACATATTTTAAATTGATACTTTGAAAATCCCCTCTTTTGAAAATTCATTTTCATATTATTTTTATAAACTTTTGGGGTCTCTTTAGCTCCTCAATTTCAAACCTTTAGAGAATAAATATTCTTAAAAGAAATCATTATTTTATGATCAATGACAAAAAAAAAACAATACAATAACAATAAAATGAAATTTCAATAAAAATATCTTGAGTATTTTATGTGCCTACTGACCCTGAGGAGCCATAATCCATGGATCTAGATTTTTTTGTCACTATCCTTGAACCCCAGTGAGTTGGAGTGAAGGGCACTGCCAGATTGAGCTATGGGTGGTCTGCCACTGCACAATGGAGACCATGGTCTGTAGCAATGTTAGATAGGGTGATCCCCTCCAGGCTATCTCTGCTCCCGCAAGCAATATTTATACATTTGTAAGACTAAATCACGCGGTCAAAATTGTTTAAAAAAAAAATATATGTATACATATATATATATATATATATATATATATATATATATATATATATATATATATATATAGAGAGAGAGAGAGAGAGAGAGAGAGAGAGAGTGAGAGAAGGAGAAAGAGTAAACTTTGATGTTAGTTTTTCTAATTAAGTCTTGTTGCATGATTTTTTCTTCATATTGTTGTTTTTCTTTACTATCATGTATTTTATTTGTATCATTAGAGCTTTTTCTGCATTATGGAAATAATTTATATTCTTTAAATAAAATTTAGTTTCTCAAAATTACATTTTTTATTGTTCATATATTTAAATACATTTATATAAAAAATAAAACACAAAATAGAAGTTCATAAATTTATCTCCCCAGATTTTTTTTATGAAATAAACTTCATTATTAAAGTTTATTAAATATATATCATCAATATTTTACCAGATGATAAATAAATGACAAATTTAAATACTTAATGAAAACTTAAATTAATTTATTCCGAAATTACAGTCAACTTTATGATAATTTCCTTAGTGTTACATCTTTTCTTGGTTATCTTAATAACACTGATTAACTAAAATTAATGGAAGTAGTTTAAATTTATTTAATTGATTAATGAGATAGGGTTGGGAGGATATCATGAATACTTAATTAATTATTGACACAAAATCTTCAAAATTTAGGGTAGATAGTATATGTGTTAGAATTAAGACTTTTAGTAAGTTATATGATTTTAAAGAAAATTACACATGGGGAAAATTATTAAAGATATCATAATCTAATGCTTCATTCATTTATCATTTATATAAATGATTCAATATTACTATTGAAAACCATCTGACTGATAACAATTATGGAAAATAAAAATAAATCTCATATCATTTTTAAAATTTGACAAAAGAACTGCCCCTCAGTTTGACCTTAATAACTTACCTACTCCTCAAACTTGTTTAAAGTAACCAACATAAACGTCAAGATCTATTAAATTCTAATGAAAGAAAAAGTTGAGTAAAATATAAATCTGATTTATTTAGGACATTAATTTAATAAAAAATGACGATTTTTACAGTTAGAAATGAATAGCTAACATTACCAACCTTGAGAGCTTACATAAAATGAAGGACAAGTAAGCATATGAAACTCATAAAGAACATTTATAAACTAAATCAGTGACAACAACTATTTCCTTCCTTCTTTAGAAATTTGAAATTAATACTGAGATAAGAATGAAATACAATACATCCAAAAATATGTTAATAACATTCATTTATAATAACGCCTGTACTGTCAAGGATCTGAATTTAGATATAGCTAAAAAAGTATATATACAAAAGCTAAACTTTCCACAATTTACGACTTTGAGAAAGTATCCAGGTATTTTAGTTTAAAATATTTCTGAATCATAAGGTTTAAAAAGAATAATAATAAAACATATAAAACAAAAACAAAAAAATAAAACAAACTGAATGAAAAGTATTATGAAATAACTTAAAACAGAGACATGTAATAGAACAACTGCTAAAGGTCCATCTTAAAACCTGTTTGATAGCAGTAATACAGATCAGTGAATATATACATATCAATGAAGATATCGCAACATAACCATAAATTTACTTTTTTTAAAACTCAAATTAAATTACTCTTTAAGAGTTAAAATTTTTGAGAATTCATAATAGCATTTTAAAACATTGAAATAAAAAATTCTTTTAATATAAAATCAATAATTTCTTTTTTAAATTGAAAATATAAATTTTAAGAAAAACGGTATACCTTGGAATATATAAATGATCAATGATTTTTTTTTACATTAATGATTTTAATAGATAAGGAAAGTATGGTAAATGGGTAAATTTTTTAAATTAAATTTATGGTAGTTTTTTTTCCTGTCAATAACGTAAATAATTTTTTTCACTGGTAATTGAGGAACAAAAAAAAAAAAAAATTCAAAAACATTAAGCAATGCAGCAGCTTCTAAATATATCATTTAAAAGCTTAATTTCTGATTAAAAGACCAATCAAAACTTGTAAATCAATGTTTAACATTCGTGGAAATTCAAAATAAATTACAACTTTACATAAGTAAAATAATAAAATCATACACATATTTATTATGTTCAGAAATATAAACATAATTGTTTTATTATTTTCAAATTTGGGTGATAAGCAATTAATCAAACCCAAATACATTTTAACTAATCAATATTATATTATACTATTTTAAAAATAATTATGATGACTCAAAAATCACTTCATATTTTAACCAGTCAAGAACATAAAATTTAATATTAAATTTTGTTAATATTGTACTAGATTCATAACACAGCTATTTCTTAAAACTGTTGAATACTTATATATATTTTTTCATGGACATTTTTATCAAAACTTATGAACAAAAAAAAAAAAAAAATAAAATGAATAAAATAAGAATTTGAATAAATTAAGTTAATTATTTGGTTTAATGTTATTTCTGATTTGTAAGTTACATGATAATACATGCAATGGAATGTTCTTATTTTCCTTTCCTCTTTGAATAATCCTTGCAATATTTTTGCCAGCTGCTGATGTCCCTATTATTCAGGATTATGAGGCATTGACTAATTTTAAAATAAAAATCATTCAATTTTTATTTGGTAAAAAAATATTTAATTTACAATAAAATTAAATGTTAAATTAAAAGATAAAGTTTATAATTTGGAAATAAATAAAATTTGAATATGGGCATTCCTTTCCCTAAGACAACTTTCATTTCCTATTAATTTTCTAAATTCTATACAATTAGAAAATAGAACAACATTGAAATAGGACCCCACACTTTACATCAAAACTTTCAGGTAAGCATTCAAAAACTATTTTTATTTGAAATTTAAAAATTACAAAAAACATTAAAAACATGGACTAATCAATCATACACAGCTTTCTGGAAGTTGGCTTGTCATAAGTCTTTCTTTAATGGCATTTCCATTAAGTTCTGGTTCAAGGATGTGATCTTCTCTCCATAGTCCTTTTCCATTCTGTAAATTTAATATTTTACACTATTAAAAACATAATTTGAAGCAGATACAAGTTATTCCAATGAAATTAGAATTATTTAATTTTGGACAGATTTCAGATGAAAAATTACTTAGCATGCCTGTTCTGGCTCCGTTGGGGGCCGTCAGCTGAAATCCAAAGTGGGGCCTCCTTACCAAGAGGGGTCCTGAGAGGACATTTACATCTTTGGAAACCACTTTCTTATTTTTATTGTAATATATACCTTAATTGAAAGTTGTTAAAAATGATTTAATAAATTAATGTAACAATTAAAAAGCAAGCTAATCTAGTTTCACTAATTCAGGGGAATGAGAATGGCTGCTCTGTAGTTTCCCCAAAAATGAAAATCCCAAAGAGGGGAAGGACAAAGGTATTTGTTTTGGCCAACAGTTGGTGTTTGGCTGGGGTGAAGAGAGGATGGGAGAATGGATCCTAGCTCCAGTGGGTAAAACCCAGTAAAAGTATTACCATCTTGGAAGTTGATGTTTAATAGAGTCACTAGTTGTTTTGAATTACAAGAGAGACGATCTCCCAGAGAGCTTGAGTTTGAGTAGAAGAAAGTATTGCCATTTTGGAAGTTGTGTTTTGGCAGAAGATTAGAAAGCATTTGAAGACAAATGAATTTAGTGCAACAAAGGCAGAAACAGTATCTAGAGAAAAAAGCTTAGCTTGCCAATTCATACTTGACTTTATTTTAAAATCAGTGTTTAGTTTTAGTATAATTAGTGTAAATAATAATAGTTTTTCGGAGTGTTTTGATCTGATTGTAAGTAACCCATACCTGATATAAAATAATTATAAATTTCAATTTAATATATTAATACTCTTATATTTTTTTTATTTAACTACCTTTTATTTATTTATATTATATTATTATTATTTGTAAAATATAAGAGAGATGTCGCAGTATATATTTATTAAAACACTTCATAAGTACAACTGTAAATGATTTTATCTCCTTTTCCAAGTGACATTTGATTTATATGGTTTCACTAACTAATGCACTACTTATAATGGCACACACTTAAGAAGAGTATAGGGGACATACAGTTTGATGAGGTAATTGAATTTGAGAAGTATGGAAATGGTTGAGAGAACGGGAAAGGTCGACTCTAGTCCTAAAAGTATTTTTTTATTCTACCTCTTCAGTTGCAATGAAGATCATCTTGAATCTAACAGCCCATTTTAAATGTGTGGTATGAATGCAATCATCTATGTCCTAGTTTCTTCTTGAGAAATTCTTGCTCTTATTTTGGTCAATTGGCCGAGATGGGTTTGCAGGTCATCTTGGTTATTTTTTTTTTCTAAGCAGCTATGGGGTAGTGCGTATGGGTTTTACTCATGTCACCGCCAGCAGTCATGCTCTTTTTATTTGTTATAGTTCTTTATTTTATAAAGGGTTTCCAGTCCTCGGCTACCCCTCTGATTTCTAGCTTCAGTCGCTTTGTTCTTGCCAGATTAACTTTTAGTCCTTTGTTCTTAAAAGCTTGCATCTTCATCAGCATTTTAGCTTGCTCTGCTCCCCTAGTCTTCACCAGGACAGCGGTGTTCCTGTTGGTAAGTCCTATTACTTTTGCTGTAATATGTGTACCCTAAAGTTCTTCATTTGGGAGAACCTCCCATATGTTTCTCAGGTTCCAGTTTTCTCCTTCACCCCTTATTTTATCATATGTGGGGGCTTCTTCCGGTACTGTTGAAGAGGGACAATTTAGCGCTCTCCTTAATATGCCTGAGTATGTAATCTTCTGATGTTCTACTTTCTCAATCCTCTTTCCCTTCTGCAGTTCCGAGGTGGCACTTAGTTTCTTCTTTTTTTTTCTTCGTTTCGTCTCACCTAGGTCCATTTTATCATCTTCCGACTCATCAAGGGATGAGTTTTGGTCCTGATATTTCACCTTGGGAAGTTCTGTTCTTTTGTGTATCCTCTCTGTTCCTTTCAAGAGTCCTTCCAAGAGCAATCATGACACTCGAGGTCAGTTTCTATTTGATATAGCCAAGGAGTTCTTCATTCTGCAATACTTCTCAGATGATTTCCATTGGCATCATTTCCCGATTAAGTTTTTCCCTTTTGAGTGCCTCTATCTTTCCCAACTGGCCACTTATTTGGTCGATGCGGAACGTCACATAATCTGCCATTGACTCTAGGCGCGTGACCAATCTTCGAAGATTAAAGGGGTGTATTTTTCCTCTTTCAAGCTCACCCTCAAGTACCTCTACCTTTGCTTTAAGCTCTGACCCTCTTTTTGTTACCTCATTGATAACTACCATTGACTCACAATCTAATTCTTCTTTTTGATTACTATTTTCCTGTAGTGTCGTTAGTACTCTGCTTCTCAAGTCGGTCATCTTACAGCTCTGACCTATTTTCTGCCTCATGGTGACCACGTGGTCTTATAACCTGTACTCTACGTGGCCACCATGTGCTTTTCTAACCCATCAATTGCCTATTTAACTCTCACCTCGTGGTCTCCCAGAGCCATTCTAACCTCTTCAATTAGCGCCCGTGTACTCAACTAACCATATTTCCTCATGGCCACTACTTTTCCTATTATCCAGCAATATCTCTCTGATCTTCAGTTCTATTTGTTCAGGATTTCATGTAGACACTCCCGAACACTCAGTCCACACTCAATAAACAGCTGACTTTGCTTGCAGCACTCAGCTTTTACTTGAATCAGAATGAAACTTAGCCTCACACATCCTACCCAGTTGGCAGCCTGTTGTGAACTGGTCAACATGATTTGTGTGAAGCCGAACATTTTTATCAAATATCAACAAGCGGGATTAATAGAGAACTTTGTCTCAACAAATTTTACTACAACCATTTCCATCTGTTGAGGCCATCAGATGATCCTTGTATTTTTTTTATTTTTATTTTCTCTCCTATTGGAGACATAGTTGGATCATAATTTAGGGAAATTTACAATTAGTATTCTTTGCAAAAAAATTCTAATTCACTTGAATTTTTGTTTTACTTCAACGTAGGCTGTAGTGTGAGATAAATAACTGATAGGCTGTCTAAGTGTTCACAGCTTCGACAAAGAATACTATATAAGATTGACTCGGGCTGAGAATTAGTGCTTTCATTGCTGCTTTTCAAACTGATATTATTTCTCAATCAAAATTCGTGGTATGTCTACCTATTGATACATAGCTCTAAAATAGACCTTAATGATAATACCCTCAGACGGTTGCAAGGGAATCAATTGATGCTGGAAAATAAGTGAACACACGAATTCAGAGGTAAGCTGACTATATTTTGTTCATTTTTTTACAAGTACTATGATTCTGAGTACATCACCTGGTATCTCTTATTCCATCTACTTGGCTTAAGAACTATACAGAGAGCATGAATCATTACAATATGAGAACTATCACTAGATCATATTTGGTTCTTAGATGTTCTACATTCTCAAGAAAAGTTTCTTGCGTTATGGGTATCAGATAATATATGATGCAGTCACTAGAAGCTGATCTGGCCAGATCAAGCCTGCTTCTTAGTAAAATCATATGAATAAATCTATATTTAAATAGAAAAACACAATAATCATGTTCTATATATTGAAGTTTTCAGTATCAAATAAATATTTCAGAGCTTTATTCCTTATCCATTACATCCATTAATATAACTCCTCAAAATAAAGTACAGAATTTTCTAACACTTGAACACTTCATTAAACGAACAATCCGATCTCTCTCTGCCATCCTAAGACAAGTTATTTTGAAAGCCCCTAACATCCTCATTAAATTTCAAAAGCCTACATATTAAGTTGAAATGGTGTTTTTGCCACTTTAGCTTTTTTTTTTTTTAAATAATAATTGCACATAACTTAATAGAGCTCAATATTTAATTAGGCAATAAATTTTACAAATATCGCTCAGATCTTCCTGAACCCCAGTATATATGTATGTATATATGCACCTAATAAGCTGAATTTAAAATAAACATCTAATCCATAGAGAATTAGGATAATTTAGTGATTAAAAGGAAAACAAAAGACATTACTATTATGGCACTTAGTACCTATATTATTAAATAAGACCTGTTAGTTTTCAGTATAATATCCCTATTCTTTCTTTTATATTGATTTATCTTTTCTATATTATTAAAAATAATACTGAATGTGTAATTTAAAGAATCAGAATAATGTGGAAATAGTATATAAAATGAAATAAAAAAATAAAATAATAGTAATAATAATTGGAAAAATTTTAAAATGATTAATGGATTTGTGGAAGGCCTTTTATGTCAGCAATACATTTTTAGTTAATACAATTTAAAAAAACAAAAAAGAAAACTGTAAAATTGTGGGACTATCAAACTCATATAAAATAATATTGTCAAAGAAATAGGTTACATATGTTACAATGATACTTATTTTGATGTAATCTATCTTCAATTTACCTATCTATCTATCTAAATGTGAGTGTGAAAATTATGTTGTTAAAATAATTACTAATTTAAATCAAAAGTAGGCAGTTAAATATTTAAATAATAAACATTTTAAGCAAATGAAGGGAACAATTCCAATCTAACGAATAAGTAAAACTTATAGATACCTGCATGGAGTCAGGAATGTGCCAATCCCCTGGTTCTTTTCCTAATGCTCCCTCTCCACATCTAATGTCGGATCTTGGGTTAGGTTCTGAAGAAAAACATATTTTTTTACGGTATCTGATATATGTTGATAATGTTTTATGCTTGTTTTTAATATGATATTTATTATTTATGGTGGACTTGTGAATAGATAGATATCTGAAATATTATACTTCCTAAGAAAACAAAAAATGTAAAGTTTGAAGGGTATATGACCTTCCTCCAAATAAAATACAGTTAATCCAATGTTAATCGAATATCCTTAGGCACATAAATATTTTAATTACAATGAATCTTGTTTGAAATTATGAAGACTTATAACTAAATGGATGTGAGTTAAAAGTAGTGCGTAACAGATTTGTACATGAATAAGTGAATAAAATTATTATTTCTTTCCTTATGAAGTTATTTCAAAAAGATATTCACAATCATGAAGAGCATCGGTATATAAATTGAAACATGATATGATAAATGTAACTGTAAAATATATCAGGGAATAAGTCACTAATAATTGGATCAAAAAAAAAAAAAAAATTCAAGTGTCTCACTCTTGATTTCTAAAGCTAATATTGATTGAACATTTTCTTAAATAGATTGTTATGTTTAGAATGGGAGAAGTAATAATTACAAACTTGAAAAAGTAAGTAATAATAGAGCAAATTATGATTTGCATTTCCAGTTCTATTGCTACAAAGATAAGTGATTATAAATTGCTTGAAAACGATGCTGTGTATAAATTATTTACCCTTCATTAATAATTTCTGAACAATTGTAATAATCATTATACATTCCTGTGGGGTGATGGTTTCTTTGCCGTATCACTGACAAAAGAAAATTAAGCATAGGATTTATTACAACAGATTTCTTTTAATCACAGTTGATTGAATAAATGTATACAGATTTAAATAAAGAGTTTTTTCTTTTCATTAGTAGAGAGATCATAGTTAATACTTTATGTGTCATGAAAGTATCTTGAATGTAAATTAGGTGAAACTGAGTACTTCATATAGACTCAGGCTTTTGATTGATTACCTCTGATTTGAAGTATACATTGGCATTATGTAAGCCAATTTGAACATTTTAATTGTGAAATATGAGTAAAAAACATAAATAAAGTAATTTATTTTCAAGAGAAGCTATTTAATATCTTTAAAATCATAAATAATATAAACAGACATGCAATTAAGTTACTTATTAATGATATATTATGTTTCATCAACCATGGGGCGACCCTGGGGTTGGGACACCCTCCTGGGGCACATCCAGACTCAATAAAGTGAGTACCTTTAATTAAATAATTAATTAAGGGAGAAAACCTGGTGGTTGAGTGTGATCTCAGTCAAATCACCTCCTTGCACAACTGTTGACTAAGAAAGAGTACTTTCCCTAAATAGTACTAACCCTCCATGGGTTGTAGTGGTACAGGTTTCTTTTTTAAAATTTTTTATTAATTACATATAATTATCTGTCTTAAAATACTACTTATTGTAAAAGAGTATGACCAATGTTAATGATTATATTTCACTATATAATCATATAAACATTATATAATGTTTATATAATATAAACATTATATAAATAAGAAACTTATAATTAACAATCATCATCTGTTTCATTTTAATACATACCATATTTGATAGGGATGATATCAGGATCTTTTTCTTCAGAATCATTACCCTGTTGTTTGACTTGAGAAACAAAGATTGTAGAAGGCTTTTCTTGTAATGTATTTCGAGTTTCTCTGGATGGGATAAATTTACGTGAAACAAAGATTGCGAAAATTATAATGATGATACCAACGCCTGATGCAATTACAATAGCTGGAGGAATGGTTACATCTACTTCTTCACCTACAGAGTGATAAAATTAGGAAATGTTAGTAGTAATAAACTTAAAAATATTATAGGATAATTAATCTTATCTAATTTATATTCTTGGTTCATTTTATATAAAATAAAATATGTTATGATGTATATATATGTATATTGTAATGTACACGTTTTTTGGAAGTGAGTAAAAAGGTTTTAATAAATTAATGTTGAACAATTAAAAGGCAAGCTAATATAGTTCTACTAGTGCAGGGAAAAGAAAATGCTGCTCTGTATTTTCCCAAGTATCCCAACGGTATAAAGTGATCTTCCGAGGTTATATTATTATTATTTGTAAAAGGAATATATATATATATATATATATATATATATATATATATATATATATATATATATATATATATCCTCATGATAAGTTGTCCTGTTTATAGAACTTGTCAAGTATAAGTTAGACTAAACTGCTATCCAAGAATTCTGTTGGACTGGCAGAGGGCTTATAGAGAAAATATATCATATTATATACTTTAGTTGCCAGGCTAGAAATCACACCTTCAGGATTGAATTTATTGTCAAGGGATGGATGAGACCGCGGGTCATTGGATTCACTCCCATCAATGAATGTTTATGTGTTCTTTGAATCCAAGGGACTTTCTACAACTTTAGTCCCATAAGTTGTCAGGGACCTATAGAGACATCAAGAGAAGAAAAGATGAAAAGGACGAATTTCACAACGGATTGGAAAGAGAATGTGATGCATGCCCAAGAAGTGACATTAAAATCTTACTGGAAAACTTTGATATGGCAATATCTTATGACAAAATTTAAACTTCACCATCAGCAATTAAATAGAAATATTTATTTCATATTTTAATAACAACAAAATTGTAGAAGTGCACTAATTTCATTTATTTTGTTTGTATTCATAATATGCAATATAATCAATGTTTTGAATCATTTGTTTAATTTAATCATGTATTAAATTTCAGTGATCCAACCTCATATAATCTACACCAATTCTCATAATAACCAGCACAATATCAATCAATTATAGGTCAATGGGTAACATTTAGCTCACACCAAATTACCGTAATCAAACTCCAACCAAAGAAGGGAATAATTATAGCCTAAAAACAAATGCAGAGCATAAGGTCAGATCAGATGTAATTTCTTGCATTAAAAAGGAAAGATTAGATGGCTGGGCCACTTACATCATATGAATATAAAAATACTTCCAAATTAAATAATCAAATTAGTTCCAGATAGAAAAAGAGGAAAAGCAAAGGTATAATAATGCATAGGCTACAATAGGTTGACACACAGAGGCAGACCTTTGGCTGTGATTACTTAGAGAGGAACTGCTGGGATCATTCTGAGTTGAGGAGAATTTTTGAGGAGGCAAAGGCCCTTCATGGGCCATAGTTCCAAAAGGGGAAAAAAAATCCTTTAAAAAAATAAAATTGCTTATGATATTTGAATTTGTCTAGCAATTAAAAATTACATTAATTTTAAATTATTTAAATAACCATTATCATCTGTAAATAGATGCTTAAGTTAAATTTTGTGGATTTGGAGTTATGTGTTTTAAACCTAATTTTTTTCTTTTTCTTCTTATTTGATAGGTCAAATGAAATGGTCAATATAAGTAGGTATATAGTTTAAAGAGGTATATAAACTGTGTGGAAATCTAAATTCAACGCCTGTTTTCTAAAAGCCAATATTTTACCATTTTTATCTCTAATGAGATTTTGAAGTCTTAATTTCAAATTCAAAATATTTTATTAATTTAAGAGACAAAATTCAATTTAAAATTTAACATTTTTAGGAATATTAGTTTTCTAATTCATTATAAATTTATGGATCGTTAAAATATTATACTAAGTTTCAGAAAATAAATAAATAAAAATAAGTATACCTCCTCTTTTGTCAAAGTCTTTGAGCACAACATCTCCTATACTCGTAGGAGAACTTCTTCCTTTTGAATTAACTGAATAAATGAGAAAGGTATAGGATATTTCAGGTTGTAATTCAGATATCTGAAAAAAAAGAATAAAATGATATTGCGTTGTCTTAATAACAATGTAACCATATTGAAAATGTAAATGTCACATCAATTGGTAAAGATATTATTAGTGCCGTTTTGGATGGTTATTAGGTACTCATTTCTGGTTAATAATACATTTTTCTGAAATCGGAATATCCATAAATATACATGGCACCAACCAAAAAAGAATCTTTAATCCGTAATAGATTATGTTATAACAAAACAGAGTTCCTCGATGGTGGTGCACGATGCAAGAACCTATAGAGGAACAGAATGTGGAACCGATCATTACTATCTTAAAGCAAAAATAGGCTTTCCTTGGAAAAAGAAAAATGTCTTAAAGATAAACAGTCCAGAGGAAAAGATAGTGGATGAACCAATGGAAATTCAGCTACTGCAAGATGACAGCATTGGAGGAATGTACCAAAGATGATTAGATCAAAGCTTAGATGAAACATTTGTGGGAAATTCTACACAGATCTATGAATACCTGAAAGGAATACTGCAGAAGATCGGTGCGGAAGTATTAGGACCCAAAAGGATAGGCATAGGCAGAGTAACAAATGGATGACTAATAACCTTTTGGAATTAATAAAAAGGAAAAAAAGAAGCATACTTCTCTTGGTTAAGTAACAAAAATAACAACACTCTGGCCATTTATAAAGATATTAAAAAAGAAGTGGTAAAAGAAGTAAGGATCGCTCAAAATGCAGAATGGAACAGACTTTGCTCAAATAATAACAGTCAAATAGGATATAAAAGGTCAACAACTGCATAAGCGACGCTGAAGAGTATGAGAACTCAGGCAACACACAAGTCAAACCTTAATCTGATCAACATACCCGAATGGAAAAACTATTTTAATGGTCTCATAAACGAAGACAGAAGCTCATTCAGGGAAGACTCCAGCTGGTTGTATGAAAGGACAGATATGAGTGTTGGTGAGGATCAGGTCGAAAAGGAACTGAAGCTAGGGAAGAATAATAAAGCACCAGGGTCAGGTGGAATTAATTTCGAGCTTTTAAAATATGGAGGGAAAAAAGTGACAAAACTATTAACAAATATGTATAATAGAATATTGAGTGGTGACCCAATACCAAAAGAAATGAAGCTTGGTTACATCAGTCCAATCTATAAAAAGGGGAACAGAAAAAAATGCAAAAACTACAGAGGAATCTGTGTTATTTACCCTTTTGCCAAAATATTAGGGAAACTTATAAGAAACGAATTAGAGCATGGGTTTAATGGTTCAGAAGACCAATGTGAATTTACAGCGGAAAGATCGTGCATTGACCATATATTCACCCTGAGGCAATTGTTGGAGAAACATCAAGCGGTTTTCAGAGACATTGAACTAATATTTATAGATCTAGAGATGGCGTATGACAGTGTCCCTCGAAGACTATTATGGCAAACCCTCCAAAATGCAAACATTAATATAGGTCTGATAGATATAATAAAGGAAATGTACAAAGGAAATACCTGCCAGGTCAAAATTGGACCATACCTTTCTGAGCCTTTCCCAACAAGCAAAGGATTGCTCCAGGGGTGTTGTGCCTCTCCTTCTCTGTTCAAAATTTATCTTGAAATCTGTTTGAAAGCATGGAGAAATAAAATGCGAACCCATGGGGATTCAGTTGAAAGAAAAGGTGTTTCTTTATAAGCTATCCTTCGCAGATGATGAGGTCATCATTGCAAAGGACGCAGAAGATGCTGGATATATGTTAAGAAAATTAAATGAGGAATGTCAGCAGTGGGAACTAGTTATTAATGCAGAGAAAACAGAATACATGATATTTAATAATGAGGATATAGAACTGAATCCATGAGGGGTTCTAAAAAGAATTAAACATTTTAAATATCTTGGTTCCATAATTGAAATAGATGGTGCATGTGATGTGAACATAAAAAGAAAAATTTCAGATGGCAAAAAGACCATATCAATGTTCAACTCGGTATTATGGAACCGGGACATTATCCCCAAAACAAAAAAAAAACATATACAATAGTATAGTACTGAGCATTATGACATATGGGTCAGAAACTTGGACCATAAAAAGCAACCTCAGGAAGAAACTTCTAGCCACCGAAATGGAATACTGGAGATGAGCGGCGGGAATATCCAGAGAAGAATGCCAAAAGGAAGACTACCCAAAGAAGTCCACTTATGGAAAACTAGGGAAAGAAGAAGACGAGGAAGACCAAGGAAGACCTGGGATAACGAAGTGGAGGAATCCATGATGGGTCATAGTCTACGGGAAGAATGGACCTTAAATAGGATATTATGGAAAGAAGCCATCCAAGCTTTAGGTTAAGGAAACCCACTATTAGTGGAAATTCCTTAAAAAAAAAATTCTGGTTAGTAAAAATGTAAATAATAATTTTGAAGAAATTACACCAGTATTAGATTAGGTAACGAGTTCAAGAAGAATGCTATTAGATTGATAAAAAGTAACTATAACAGAGAACTACAATATAATTTCAAGGCTGCTCCACATATTATTGTTAATTCACTCTGCTTATTCTTCAGTCCAATATGAAGTATATCTTTGATAAGAGTACTCAATGAATTTAAAGTTGAATATCAGTATTAAGGATATAAGCAGTAACTACAATTTAAAACAGAAATGTGTGAATTACCCTACTATTTCATTTCAACATTTATTAAATACAAAGAATTCATCACTCCTATTAATTTTAGGGAGGAAAGCACACAAATGTTGGCTTTTATATGAGGATCAGAACATTTTTTATCATGAATAACAACAATCTGTAAATATTTTTTGTCTGTAACTCAACAATGGAATTACATATAAAACAAATCCCAAGATATATTATATATTATTATACTTTCAATATATTTTTTAAAATTTTTATATTCATTGATGATTACGACTATATTATAAAAAAAAAAAAAATACAACTAGTAAATGTGCATTTAGGAATATAATAACATAAAATCTCTAGTTGAGAAACCACCCACTGATAGCACTCAAATAATAAATTTACATAAGAAGATCACGAGGGTACCTTCTTTTCAGACGCCTTGGAGGGTTATCAGGGATCGAGAAGGAAGCAAGGTTTGAAATGAGAGGGTTCGGATGGTTCTGCAGTTTGTTATGGAAGGATAGGTATCTGGATTGGGCCAAATCAGAAACATATGGAACATCAAGGTTTTTATGGATGACTTTATTTGTGACAAAGTAAGGAGCGTTGAGGATTTTGGATTTTAAGGATTTGATACGAGAGGAATTCGATGGTTTAGTGGAGCTCCAAAGCTCAATGCTGTAAGTCCAAATAGGTGTTATTATTGTCATATATATGAGTCGTTTGTAATTGATTGAAAGCTTTGTAAGTGTTGGAGTAGTCGGAAACATCGAGCGGTTTCTTGTTGTTTCAGTCTTGTATGAGGATTACATATGAGTCGTTTGTCCAGGTGGAGTCCTTGGTAACGGATTTGTTCAACTGGGGGGATAATTGTTGAACAATAAGTGGGGAATTGTTAAAGGATACTGTAGGACAGGAGGTCATAGGTTTGCGACGCAGGGTAAAGGTAATTTGATGGGATTTATTTTGATTCTCCAGTTTTTACACTATTCTTCAAGGTTTATGATATGTGATTGGAGAGTTTGGGATGCAGTTGATGGATCATTATTAACAGATAGGATACATGTGTCATCAGCATAGGTGGTGATGACAGTGTCAAGATGGGTTGGGATGTCAGCTGTATAAACTGTGTAAAGGATAGGACTAAGGATACTACCTTGAGGAATACCAGCAGATTGGGAAAAAAGGGATGAATAAGAGTTTTTGTGATTTAATTTAAAGCATCTATCAGTAAGGTAGGAGTGGATAATGAGGAAGTATGTAGGTGGTAGGAATTTACGGATTCTGTACATCAGTCCCGGGTGCCAGACTCTATCAAATGCCTGTTCAATGTGGGGAAAGACTTCCGAGCAGTAAAATCTGCTCTCCAATGCAGAGGAGACTATGTCTACCACAAGATGGCATTGCTGGATAGTGGAATGAGATGTGCGGAATCCAAATATGTGGTCTGGGATTAAGTGATTAGAATCTAGGATGGGATACAGGTGTTTTAAGATAAGTTTTTCCAGGATTTTTCCCATGATGGTTAAAAGAGAGATAGGACGGTAAGAAGATGGGTATTCTGGAAGTTTTTTGGGTTTACGTATCATTTTAATAATTGATAGTTTCCAAGTGTCAGGAAAATATGTGGATCAGAGTACAGCATTATATATATAGGTAAGGAATAGAATGGCCTCCGGAGGAAGCAGTTTTAGGATCTGGGATGTAATTAGCTCATGTCCAGGAGCTTTGCGTGAAGGTAATCTGTGTATGATAATGGATATTTCTGATGGATGGAATGCTTTAGGTAGAAGGGTCAGTTCGAGTGGTATATCCAATTCTGTTTCAATACACTCGAGGTGGATTGGATTTAGGATATCGGGGTGTGGATTAAAGATTTCAAAGAGGTGCTGAGCAATTATTTGAGATTTTTCATCATCAGATCTGGACCAGGTTTGATTTTCAGTAATGAGAGGAAGTTTAAAATCTTTGAGTTTTGGGAGCTTCTTGATAGTCTACCACAGTGATTTGTCAGTAGTTGTAAGATTTTCTGTTGAGTTAAGTAAATTTTGAATTTTTTAATTTCTGCTTTTAGTTGGTTAGTTAGGTTGTTGTAATAAGTTTTATCTGGTGGGTATCTAGTCCTGTGCCATTTCGATCTTGATCTGCGTTTTTCCCTTAATAAGATACAAATGTGCAGTGGCAAATTAGTCTGCAGGGAATTGTTAGTTTTATTAATAGATGTTTTGTCGTTTATTGTGTCTCATATAGATGTTCTAAGTAATTCTTTGGCTATGTCAATGTCTTGTTTTGTCTTGAGTGGGATATTTAAGTCCAATTTGTCTTCCAAATCATTAGGAAATTTGTCCCAGTTTATCCGTCCTGTAATCAACGTAGGAGGAGAGGAGGGCTCAGGAGCAAAGGTGGAGTGTAATGAAAGCAGAACTGGACTATGATCTGAAGAAAGGTCATCCAGGGATTTAATTGTGACATGGGAAGATTTAATATTTAAATAAATTTGTTGATATAATGGAAAGGAAAACATTATATTTTCTGTTTCTTCTAATATACCTATTTAAAGCTTAAACCAATATCTATTGTTGGTATTATTATTTAATTAATAAAAGGTAAAATGTACCTGTCCAAACTAAGAAAATTCTTTCCTGCTGTTGAATCGCGCTTAGAAAAGAAATGGGTCCTCCAGGAATACATATCCTCATGGAGTATGGGAGTTTCTGAGCGAAACTTTTTAAACATGGTAAAAACATTGAACCCTTATGCCGCAATTGTGGATTACCTGAAACCGCTGAGCACATCCTTGTAGCCTGCACCAGCTATGAGGCATTGAGGGCCAAATTAATGAGGGATACCGGGCTTTACATTTTAACAGAAAGACAATTACCCCAACTGATGTCTCAACAAAACTACCCGCACTTTAAAAGTTTTGTATGCGGGTGGAAAAAAAGTGTGGGTCCAACCCACTTCTCCCTGGGTAGACATGAAGAAGCAGTGCCTGGAAGGCAGCTGATTAGGACAGGAGAAGAAGTTGGAGGAAGATAAAATAAGAGAAAAAATTATCAAGCAGGCTGTGTGCACAGCAATGTAAAAAGATAAACTTGCAAAAGTAACTTGTTAAGCAAAAAATGTTTATCAAGTCAATGCTGCAAACTCCCGTATTGTCTTAAAGGCAGGGTAGGGAGGAAAATAAAATAAAATAAATAAAAGAGGTAAAATGTATTTTGTAGAATATTCAGAAGAATTTCATGTAATCTATTGAATCCATGTTATTTATTTTAAGGCGACAAAAAATAAAAGAATAAAAGTTATTATTCATTCATTCAATGATAATTTTTTCTTTTAGAAACTATAAAATAATGCCAAATTCTATTCCATTTACCTGAAAATAAGGAAGTTCTGAAGCTGTAAGATTGATTCTCTTAAATTCACCAACATAGACTTCGAGGAAAAAATATTGTGGAAGACCGCCATCAGATCCTGCTTGACAAGTTACCACTAATGAGTTTGAGGTCTCATTGCCTATTGTGCAGTTACGGACAGGATATGGCTTTCCTATAATCATTAAATGTAAACACTATTGAAATAAACATAATCTAATAATTTATTGTTAACATAGAGAAATATACATATATATTTTTATTTCAAATAATATATCTTTCTATTAAAAAATAATGTTCTTTTCTTGCCTCAAATATCATTAAAATTAAATGATCAACAAATGGGGGTGATCATTACCTAAAGTATGAAAAATATAAATTTTATTCCTTAATCATTCCTTACTGGTGGATTATGTAAACAGGTTTATATTTTTCCAATGATTTTATTCAAACATTTCAATGCAAAAAAAAAAAAAAAATGAAGAATATTTTGCTATATTGAGTACTTTTAGTTGTATTTGCAACATATATATGTACATTAAATAAGCTTATTTCGAAATATATTGAAACAGAAGTAGAGAAATTTGTTTAATTGACTTAAATTGAAAATAATAAAATAAATCTCATGAAATTTTGAGGATACTGACTTTATGGTTATTAAACAAAATTGACACTCTATAAGAATTTGATCCGCCCTGTTCTCACCTATGCTTCATAGACTTAGATGATCTACAAGAGCAATGAAAATAACCTAATGGTTTTTGAAAGGAAAATATTGTAGCCCATGATTGGTTGAGCGAGAATTACAGAGAGCTGTAGAATCAGAAAGAATAGATGACTTTTATGGAGAGCTAGATGTGGTTAGTAACAAGTTTGGGAGACTTAGTTGGGTTGGTCATATTTCTAGGATGAATGAGTAAGTGACCTCGAGGAGAGTGTTGAAAAGGTTCTTCATTGAAAACAGTAGCCAGGCTGAGACTGAAATGGGCTGATAGAGTGGTGGCAGATGCAAGAAGCCTTTTAAGGATCAAGAACTGGAAAACAGCTACACTAGACAGGGCTGAATAGTGGAGGCTCATTGAAAAGGTAAAGATCCACTATAGGTTATTGTGCCATGGAGGTAGATAGATAGACTTGTGGTCATATTTTTCAAATTCAAAATGCGGCATCAATATATTAAATTTTAATCTTCTTTCTTAAATTTCATAAGAACTCTCTTAAAGTATTAAAAAAATGAGAAAAACAAGAATGAACTTCCATAAATATTCATTATTACATAACTTTCCTGTCATTTTTATCTCTATATTATTTATCTCTCTAATCAGTCAAAACTCCTTAAAAGAATAGTCCAATCCCAAATTTCAAATTTTCCGGAAGAGTTCAAACTTCTAGATCCTCTCAAATCTGTTTTTCGCCCGGGCTTCTCCACTCAATCTGCTTTAGTTAAAATCACAAATGACATACATACTGCAATCGACTAAAGAAAACTGACTGTATTAGTACTCCTGGACTTATCCAAAGCATTTGATTCCTTAGACCATTCTATCCTCTTCTCTAAATTAAAATCTCTATCTTTCTCCAATAGTTCAATCTTATGGTTCCAATCCTTCCTTTCTGACAGGACTCAAGCTGTCAGTATTCCGAATCAACCCTTATCTTCCTTCCTAACTTTGTCTCATGGAGTAGTCCAGGGTTCAAACATTTCTCCTCTCCTTTTTAATTCTTACACCAATGACCTTCCTAGTTCAATCCACCATTGCTCATACCAACTATATGCTGCTGACTCTCAAATTTATCTTTCCTTTCTGCCCACTGAGTTATTAGAAGAGTTTACTAATATTCAGAAAGACCTAGATAGGATCAGTGCCTGGGTAAGCTTGAGTAAATTAAAGTTAAACGCAACGAAAACTCATGCCATTGTTATAGGTTCCAACTGTTTCCTTAAGTCCATTTCCACCCTTCCTACCTTGATTATTAATGACCAACCAATCTCCTTCACCTCCTCTCTAAAAAACTTAGGAATAATCATTGATCAAAACATATCCTGGAAACCCCATATTTCTCATATTTCCAGAAGGTCAATTGGTACACTTAAACTATTCCATCGTTCTCGTCAGTATCTCCCACAACTTATCTGCAATCTCTCCGTTTTCTCATTTATTTTCTCTCACTTTGACAATGGCTGTGCGGTATTCGGTGGCCTCCCGTTGGTGCTTGAGGACAGACTTAAGAGAATCATGAACTGTTTTCAAGATTCGTCTTCGGCTATTCGAGATGGTCTCATGTGTCCCACCCATATGCCAAGTCAAAGTGGCCCTTCCCCTCTTCCCGCCGCCAATACTTCCATGGAAATTTCTTTTACCAAACGATCAACTCCCAGCATCCTTCCTATATTTACTGTCTCCTTCAGCCGAAATCTTCAGTCCACTCAATAAAAACGAGATCTTGTGTTTCTGACCTCTATATCCCTCCCCATAGGACAAAAACCTATTAACGTTCCTTCTTAGCCCGCTCCGTTGCTTTTGGAATTCCTTGCCACATAATCAATGTCATGCCTCTTCCCTGTCATCTTTCAAACACTTCCTTTTTCAATATCTTCTTACATCTCAAACAGACGATTTGCAACCATAAATTTCATTTTATGAATTGAGTTTGTGAGAAGTAAATGATGGTACCTACTGTTTAAGTTTTAACATAAAATATCAATGCTCTTTGTCACCTAGTTTGACTATTATTTTTACTATTTATTTGTTTTTCTCTTCACTTCAGATCTTGCTGATTCTTTCTGGGTATATATGTTTATATGTTCGTATTATATTTTTTATATATTTTTCTCTAGTTTTCCATTTCAACGATAATCACGCTTGAGAAGATTTTTTGTTTAACTGTTAACATATTATTTTATAGTGCTAGTTTATTAATTTAGCCTACTTTTTGTATTATAAAATCTAAACCAATGCCTTTCTGTTATTACATTTGTTGTTTTATTATAATATTGTTTTATTTTTATTTATCCAGGTTATAATTTTTGTCTCTCTGTGTACCAATATGAGTATGTATGTTTATATATTTCTTTTTTTTTTTCATTACACTACAAGTAATCATGAGATTTTATTTTTATTTCTCTTAATGTTTGCATATTATTATAAAAATCAATGAAGATATTACATTTTGCATTAAGTTATTTTTATATTAGTTAGCCTATTGTTTATAAATTGTGTAGTTATGTATATATAAATATGTAATTTATTTTTGTTTTGTTTTTTCATCTCAATAATAAGTAATTTTGGGAAGATTTTATGTTCATTTATTTTTTTTTTATTTCTTAGTGGTAACATACTATTTTTTAAATAATCTATATAATGTTAGAATTTTTATAAGTTAGTTTTTTAATGGCCAGATTTATATTTTCTTTTGTATTAATTCATAATTGTTATTGTAAGGGGACTTAGCCCCAGAATAAAGTTCAATTTTCTATTCTATTTATATAAAGTTGAGGCTAAAGAGTAAGAAAGCACCAGGAATTGATGATATACCAGCTGAGCTGTTCATTTTTAGTGGAAGCGAAATGATAAAATTTCTGCAAGATATTTTAGCGGATATTTTTAGAGAAGAAAGATTACCACATGGATGGAAGAAAACAGTGATTTGTCCTATTTATAAGAAAGGAGATATATCAGTATGCAATAATTATAGAGGGATATCAATTCTCTCAAGCGCATATAAGATTTTTTACATCATTTTATATAACAGGCTCCATCCATATGCTGAATACAAGCTGGGGAAATATCATTTTGAGTTTCTCTGCTTGGTGTCCGGAACTGGAAGGTAGTGGCAGGAAAGAGAGAGAGGAATGGTAAAGAAGGCTTTAACGCAATACGTGGGTCGTAATCCCATCTAATAATAATATAAAGTCGGCGTTTATAATTTGAATAAGGTGTTGATAGCCCTAGATTTTTACGCCTTTAACAAATATAACCATATATAGAGCGCCAACAAATGATAATTTGCACTCATACTGAGTGCCATTTAACACAAACGAGGAGGACAAGAAGTGATTAATTGATGATCACTTGACAATATAGATCCCTAAATAGATAACCTTTTCAAATAATATGGACAACATTTCAGAGTGATGAGTTATTAAAATTCGAATTGAAGAGATTAGGGAATTCAATTTTTACAAACACTTTATTTCCTACCTTGATGGGTTCTTTAACATCCAATGAGATTTGTAATATTATTGATGAGATAGATTCAAATTTTCAGTGTTTGAATACGACTCTTGATTCAATTATTTTGCAATGTTTTTTTAAAAAATAGGATGTAGCCAGTACGATGATGAACTGTCACTTAAATAAAAAAAGAGTGCGTAGATATAGAGTTTATTATAAGTATGCATCAGCTCAGAGCTTCCTCATCATTAGGAGGAACTCTTGTGGAAAGTTTTGTTAAGAAAGCAGTCGTCCAATTATTAATTTTATGAAAATCAAAAAACCTCATTTTAAAACCAGAATTCTTTTCTCAATTTCTCTTTTGATAATGATCTTGCAGTTAATGTACTTAAGATAAAGAAAATTAAGATAAAGAAAATTGAGACACTTATAGTGAATGTTCCAAATTTACTTGTCTCATCTTATTCCTATGGAAGAAGATTTACAGATGTTCAAGTTTATACACAGAAAAGCTACTGGTAATTCATTAGCAATATGACAGCTATATTAAGGATTTTTAGAAAAGGATGCTTCTTAATGTTCAGCTCTTTGATAATACATTTATTGTACTAGTGTGAGACATGTTCTCTTCTATACTACTTAATATATTCTCTATCTTGAGTAGTTTACGCAGAACATAGTACACAAATCGAAAAAATCAGGGTTAAGACATAAAAGTAAGACAAGTATACAAATTATTTCCCGTAGGAGTTACAATTACAAATATTTGATCGTAGGAGTAAACTGTATAATGTCCTCGCTAAATGGTTTCAATAATGACTAACTTCCTTTACAATCAAAGTAAATTTTATCTAGTTTACAGTGAAGTAAACTTGAATTAAATATTTCTTTAGTTATCGCTTCCTAATCAACAAAAAACATGACTCTTAAAAAACACAAAACTTGGATTTCCTGCAGGATAACATCCAGTTTTCATGTAGAGGGATTAATATGCCAAGGATAAAGTAATAAAAAAATTAACCTTCTAATACCGATTTACCGTAGAAGGCGAATTGATTAAGAAGAAAAAAAAAACTTTCGAACTTGTAGATGAATAAATTCAGTTATTAAATCAAGTGCATAACTAATATGCTTACATATATATATATATATATATATATATATATATATATATATATATATATATATATATATATATATACACACATATATACAGGGTGCTCCGTAAGTAGAGGGAAGTTTTGATAAGAGTGATATCAGACCTTAAGACCTAGAAAAAGTTCATATAAACAATCGGCCAATTTTCAGAAGAAAAGTAGGAAACCCGAGTTTTGGGTTTTTTTAAGAGTCATGTTTTTTGTTGAATAGGAAGCCATAACTAAAGAAATATTTAATTTAAGTTTACTTCACTGTAAACTAGATACAATTTTCTTTAATTATAAAGGAAGTTTGTTATTATTGAAACCATTTAAAGAGGACATTATAACGACAAACTAAGCTAAGTTCTGTTTAAAAAAAAAATCATAAAATTATTCGCTATTTTTGTTTCCTCATCATCCAACTATACTACAGTTACCTCACATTTAGAAAAACCACCTAGTTTAATAAGGTTTAAGTTTATATTAATTAAATTGAAGTTTATTAGACAAAAACTTGAGATTCATCTCAAGTTGTGTAAAGAAATTATGTTATTCTCTATCCAGTCTCCTAAAAGTACCCGTTTTCAGCAAAAATGACAACAATCAACTGTTGCAAAGCTTTTATTTCTTGTTTTTCCATGATCTGAGATGAATCGTTATAAAACTAATTTCCTAAATATATATTTTATTTATAAAAAAATAACAATATTTAAAATATCGTTCATGTAAAATGGTTATAAAATTGTATTTTTCTTCCAGATCTCTGTCATAGGAGTTGATCCGTATTTATAAGTGACAAAGTTAATGTTTCTAGCCCTTTTATTTGCATCAAGATAATTGAATCAATCAGTAGATTTCTTTATTTTAAACGTCAACTTTAGGAATAGAAACATTAAGATTGTCACTTTTAACTACGGATCAACTCCTATGACAGAGATCTGGAAGAAAAAAACAATTTCAATGTACATAGTAGTCAATACGTAGTAAGTTCATGTATATATATATATATATATATATATATATATATATATATATATATATATATATTATATATATATATATATATATATATATATATTAATAAAAAATATGATAATAAAACACAAATTTATAACGAAGGAAAGGGAAACTTACCAGCAGCAACTACTTGAAATAAACAAGGAATTGATTGAAGAGCAATACTATTTTCAGCCCAGCAAGATAATGTTCCATAATCCAAATCTGCTATCGGAGTGTAACGCAAAACACTGGTTGTCCCATTGACTGAAAATCGTTCTGGTCCTACTTCCAGCGTTTCTCCGGAATTGTTAAACTTCCATCTGAAACTGGTAGCAGGAGGATCTGCATCTACTTGACAAGGTATATCAAGACTCTCAGCTCTAGATGCGCCAACTACCATCACACGATCAAACTTGCAACTTGGTGAATCTGAAAACATTAAGTAAAATTTTCAATAATATGAATCTATAGTAAATGATCAAATGTATAGGTGCACTTTTAATTTACAAATAGGCAAGAAACATTGTTTTCAGGCATGTTATATGAGTAAATGGAAAAATATATCTTTAATTAAATAAATTTGAGTTATTAGTTCGTCTAATTAAAATATCAAATCTTCAGATCATTAAGCAAGTATTTATTCAACAATTTATCTATTGATTATAATATTCCACTTCAGAGGCAGTTAATTATTGGGAATATAGAAATAATAATTTCATAATCAGCAAATAACAAAAAAAAAAAATCATGTTACAGATAACAAGTATATTTCTGGGACTATGTCAGCAGGAAAGAGAATTAAATATAAAGGAACTTAATGATGTGGAATGAACAAACTGAGATAATGTAAGGAAGTCGTGGTTATACAATATTTTAATTGAGCAAGGAATAACAAATAAATTGGTTATTCTAGTAGGAATGTACATATCCAAAACAATTAATAAAGTTCGAATCGATAACAGTGTTCTGCAAAACATTTTTTTTTTCACTCCCTCGAGAATTTTTTCATGATTTTTACATTTTTGTGTGTGCTGAGTTCGAAAATTCTATCAGACGCCATTTTTTAGAAAATGAAGGTTGTTTTTGAATAACAACACAAACAACAAGTGAATAGCATGTTTTTTCTTAGTCCATTTATTGATTTATTTTCTAGTGCATAATAATAATAATGTATAAAATATTTAATACTGAAGATAATATAACTTTATGCCTGGTCAATGTGTATATTATTTCTGTGTATTCTTTTATAGTGTTTATCAGCTGCCTCCTATTACACTGTCCAATAGTAGTAGTCAGCACAAATAGTTTCTCATTGCATTTACTACTATACCTGTTCTCCATTTGGGTTACATCTTGAAGACACAGTTTTCCGTGTCCATATGAAACAACACCCAAGTTGAAAAAGAAGAAATTCAAACGAGAGTGCTAAAAATGCATTTTTAATGACATGTTGTACGTAAACCATGACCTTATATGATAAAAGCAATTCTTTAACAACTCTTTTGTAATTTGTAGCTCTTTTGTTACCTGAAAATTGTTGACACACCTTTTCAAACGCAGACCAAGCTCTTTTTTCATTTTCATTTAGTTTTTGTTTGAATTCCAGGTTTTTAAATAGAGCACGGATGTGAGTCCAAAAATTTTTTTTAAGCCTAACACTTGAGCTCCCGGAATTTTTCCATGTTGTGATACATTGTAATAGCTTCAAAATCAAATAATTGTTTGGGTCCTGTTTAGATTAGGCCCGCCAGTTATTTTATCTAGTAACAGTTACTTATTGATAAATTAAAAAATATGGGTTAAAGAAACATATGATTTATTTAATAGGAACTTTTTATACATAACCAAAAACATTAACATACTTTTAATGAGTTACTCCAGGTACCTCTGAAGGTCAAAATTCTACTATGTCCTTAAGGATTTTATCAAAAACGTCTTCATTTGAGTTTCTCTGCCTCCACATGAACTCACATAAATACGAGTCTAACATAGAACGATAAGTCCCACATTCCTTTTTATTTCTCCTTTTGGCCTTCGCCCACATAGCCTCAACTCTTTGAGTGTGAGCACCAGTATCTTGGTCCACGAAATTTTTGGAGTGATTTACAGTACAATGCCTGTAATCCTTTATAATCATTCTTTCTATCCCACTATAGGACTTCCACAGGTCAGACATTGCAATGGAACCTGGTCTAATTTATGTTCTTATGCACTCCTCCAGAGTTTCTCTTCTTCTATCGGGCACTGCGTACAAAAACACTATTTAGTTTCACAGATCCCGCTAAACAACCATTGCTGTGGATAGGTGAGTTCAACATTATACTTTCGACTAGAAAAACAGTACTCGTTTCCCAACTGACAGTCCTTTCCCTCCAATAACAATCGGGTTTTTCAGCAAACTAGCTGCGCACACCTCCCTCAGATAATTTTTCCAATCTACAATTGTAGCGGAGTTCATATTAAATTCTTTGGAACAGAATTTAAACGTCGTATACTCCTGTGCCCATGAGTAAATGAATAAAAGGGCTTTACTTAACGGTAACCTGCTGTCACATAGCCACGTGCCCTTATACATGCCACATTCATACCGGCATTGTCTTTTGATACACCTATATTTTTTCATATTTCCTCAAAATTTCAAAATGTGGCATTTTTATAGCTTTCCTTGGGTAGAAAACCCTAACTCGTTCCTCTTCTTTGTATGAACAGTAAACTTCAAAAATATTCATCGTGTTATCACTTTATAACCACAATTACACAAACAATACTAAATTAAATAATATTTAAACATGTGATTTTATTTCTATATCAATGGTATCAAGTTTCATTACAATTGTGACTAAACATTATTAAAAAATCACTGGTCGGCCTAATCTAAACAATACCCAATTGCTTTTATTTTTTTTTAATGTTTTCAAAGATAACAAAATCTCGAAAAACATCATTTTTTGACCCACAACACAAATTTGACGTGGAATGGTGTTTTATAGAGATTTTCTGCCTTTGGATTCGTGTTCAAAATACCTCAAAACATAAAAAAAAACTATATTTCTGTTAAAGGTTATTTTGATGCAGAACAGTGTAATTATATGGGGTTTAAAACTAGGCGATTCACTCACCGCAGTTTAGTTTAATTTAGCTCTAAAATAAATCATTAGAAAAGTTAAATTGTATTATTCAGAGCGATATTATACCGGCTATGAAGATGATTTGATAACGTTAGGTGAAGATATGGATCAATTAAATATAAAAACTCTGATGAAAGAAGGTAAAGTATTGACTCTAAATAAATGTTTAAAAAAATATATATACGATTACACACACACACACACACATATATATATATATATATATATATATATATATATATATATATATAAATGGATGGAAGGGGTGCACGTTGGAATGAAACAAAAAATCCTAGGGTATGCAGATGATATAGCTGTTATGGGAAGTAATCGAGAGGATATTGAGAGACCCGCTCGGACTCTGTTAAAAGAAGCAGAGCAAATCGGACTACAAGTCAATGTACTACAAGTCAACGCAAACTGGAAAACAGTAGCCCAAGATAGGCAGAGGTGGAGAAGTTCAGGCTGCCAAAGATCAACAAGGCCTGTAGAGCCAACCGAAAAAAAAAAATATTAAGTGGAACACCTTCGAAATGGAACGGGATTTAGGAGGAAAGAAAAGCAATGTTAAGGGTTTATAATTTTTATTATTGCTGAATAACCTGAAAGTTAAAATTTACAACCCTATTATACTTCCTATTGTTTTCTATGGATGCAAGATGTGGCAACTTATATTAAGAACTAATAATAATAATAATAGAAGTACAAAGGTAAAGTACAAAAGGTAGAAGTAAGTGAAAAGAGAAATCGGTGTTGAGTAGTGGTATTGGCATGGAACATTCAGATGTAATGAATGTAATGGATCAAAAAGTTTAAAATGGATGAAAAATCTTAAAAATCGTCTTTAACTAGAAGGGGATATAAATTTTCCTCAGTAGGAGAGATCCTATGGTCAACATCAATTTTACAATTTGAACTTATTTTTGTTCTTTTTTTTTTAATTAGTCTCGGATAGTTAAAATATATAATTAGAATCATGTAAACAAATATTATAAACAATTTCAGAAAAAAAATGTTTGTTCGGTTCTCAGAAAAATATTTTAACCATTAAAAAAATATTATGAACCACACTTTCATTTCTGGTTACCTCTGATTGTATTTTATACAGAAAATTATTAAATTAGAATTAGATATGTATTAATTTGTATAATGTAGAGTAGGATTGACAACAACTAACAATTAATCATAAAATGTCTCATAATTACTTACATTTCACTCTTAAATGAAATAATGAACTCCTTGTTTCTCCTTCTTCGTTTGCTGCCAGGCAAGAATACAGACCACTGTTGTGCCGCGTCACTTTTTGCAATACTAGACTTAGGTTTATTAGGATGAGCCTAGCAGACATGTTGTGATTAAGCAATTCTCCCTGCAAATGGAAGAAAATTAAATTAATACATAAAAGAAAACTTTTATTCGCAATATTCAAGGAAATTTAGTCCGTCCTGATAACAAACGGGACCTTTAGCTGAATCATAATAAGATTGAGTAGATGAAAAATAAAAATGAGATTTATTACTTATATGGTAAATTATATCTCTAAGGGTTTAGTTTTATAAATTATATTCTTTATAAAAAGGCATGAGACAATATTTTCCTGAAATAAATTTAATCAGAGTTGTTGGAATCTGCACCGATCATGTTTTGTAAGCTATGGATATAAGTGAATACTTCATGGTTGAACGTGGTATATTATTGATTAAGGAGATGGTCTGGGGTGCTGGTCATAACAAGAATAAAATAGTGAAAAAAAAAATGTATTTAAAGCCAACGTTTCGACATGACTTTAGAGGTCTTCTACAGGGCTAGAACGAACAAGATACAAAAGGCTATAGACAAATGTGGAAGTTACATAATGTTTAGATAAAAAATATAAACAATGTGAATAAACTTATTAAAATTATAAACTTAGTCAGGAGATGGACCGGATTGGCTGTTATAAAAAGACTAAAATAGTAATAAAAACTATTTTATTTAAAACCAACGTTTCTATTAAAATAGTTTTTTAAAAACCATTTTAGTCTTTGTATGACCGCCACCCCGGACCATGTCCTTACTCAATAGTATAGCTCGGTCAACCATCAAGTATTCTCTAAAATTATAAACAATCTGCATAGGAGTACATAGAAATATTACAAACAATAAACTAAGTATAACTAAATAACAAGACCCTGAACTGAAGTAAATAAATGGTAAAAATTACTGAAAACTGAAAAAAGTTGAATGTAATAAGGAGGATGGATAATATAAGCAATAATTAAAATAATCCTACAGATCTCAAGGAAAGATTGAAAGAAAAAGTTAGAATAGTAAGAAATAATGGGCATAAAGGGAGTGTGAAATAAACGAAAAAAATAAAATAAATGAAAATAGAGACTTACGGGTGTATGGAGTATGAAGTTTCGTGTGAAACTGGGGAAACATGGGGCAGGATGGGGGTATACATGGAGAAAACTTTTTATCTGTTTTTGAGATGGTGCAGATAAGTAGTGATTTCCATGTACTCATCATCTTGCACTCATGTACAACTTTAAGACTCATCACGAGCTCACCCTGGTACGCCAGTAACAAAACATTACATACAAACTTACACATCCGATGGTACAAGATCACATTCGGACATCATATAAAAAATTCCATGCCAAACTTAATGAATATACCAAGATATTTATACAAAACATGGCCACGAGACATATGCCAGAAATCGCCCGACGATGGCTGAAAAGGGGCTGGTTAAGAAATCTCCTGGATTAACTTTTTCTTTTATCTCAAGTTAGGAGCAGGTGCCGATGGGTCCCAACCTCTTTCATGCTTAACATTTTTTTTTTTTTTTTTTTTTTTTTACACCCTACCCTGCCGATAAGGCAATACGGGTGTTATGCAATAGTGAGTATCAACGCATGCGTTACATTTCACTGCTGCATTCAGACCAATTACATTTATTTTATTTTACAGCTGTGCACACAGCCTGCTCTTTTTTTCTTTTTTTTTTTTTTTTTTTTTATTATTTCAATGGAATTTACAACTGTATTACATAGAGAATACAATAAGTAAATGAGAAATTTGTAACATGGCATGTACAACATGAAGAGAAACTACCCATTGGTAGAACTCAATTTTTCTTTTTAGCCAGCATCCTCTTCCACCCTCTCTGGCGGTCTTCCGGATGCAGGTTCATTTCTTCTTCCCAATGAAAAGTGGTTTGACCCAACCAGTTCCTTCCACCCGTATACGAATGCCTTGTAATACGGATATTTTTCCTTTGTCATAAGTTGAAGGAGATCGCTCTCCGTCAGAGCGTAGATCCCCGTCTCCCTCTTTTCGTGCTTGACATGCCAATTCTATCAATAAACATCATATCCGCTCATTGTTACAGGATTAAAAAATAAATGTTAAAATAAACTTTCGTTGTAAGTCCCCCTACAGAATTGATTGACAAAATATAAACCTACGTTAACTTAAATTGATCTCCAAAACTGGCTCGGAGAATTACTGAAAAAAAAAAATGGAAGAGGAGGCTGCTTCTATTTGTGAATGCAAACTAAAATCTTATGTGGGATCTGCAGGAGTGACTCAGACAACTATCACGATTATCGTTCAAAGATGGTGGTTCTACGATAATCGTAAAAGATAATTGCACAAAAGAAAATGTACCTGAAAAAGGACAAAACGAAGCAGCGTTGTTCCGTGTTTATTTGCTTCTTTCTACGGATAAAGCTAGCTATGTACAAACAGTTTCAAAATGTTGGTTCTCTGGTAGGCATTCCTCGATGAAATTGTATATGATTGGTTAAGATGAGAGAAAAATATTTTTAAAAAAGGCGATTTCAACCTCGGCTGAAGGAATATCATCACCAACCTCCATTGCAACAGGAGCTTTACAAAAAATTATCTAAGTTTCACAATTATTAAACATCTCATCAATGACCGAAAATTCTCAATGAATTTAGACTCAACCTATATCCCTTTCAATTATTCTCATTTAATAATAATTCGGCTAAAATTAGTTTGTCACTGTTACCTTGCATTGATACTGTGAAATTTTCTTATTAAATTTTCATAGAGTTAAAATAAAATACTGTCGAATGAACGTTCTGGGAGTTTGTGGAGCAGTATTATTACTCAGAGTAAGTTTAAGTAAATTAAACAACATAGTTATTCTACACTGTATCCAAGGGGAATAATAAACCACTTATTATTCTCGATCTGATTCAAATTCAACCATTCGTTACGAAATTTTATACAATTGTAATTTTGTTATTAATTTTAGATTGGTCTGACTTGTATTGCGTATATTAACAACTCTCGGAAACCTATATTTTATTTTTATCAAGAGGTTACTATATATATAAAACATAAGAGATGAATTTTAAAGTGATAAATAGTAGGAGGAAGAATTGATAGAGGATTGGTTGTTAGACTGAATAAACCAATATTAAAGGATGATTAATGGTGAAGGAAGTGGGGGTGGAAAGTAGGACTAAGTGGTTAGCGGCACAATTTGTCGCTTTTCTAATTAGAGGTAATCAGGAAAGGGAAGATCCAGTGAAGTGAATCATTGATGAGCCGGAATCCGGAGTCCTCTTCCATCCATCATCACAAATAAGCCGATCCACTTCCTACAATAGCCTAACCCTTTTAATCTACTTTTAATTTCTAACCACTTACATTAGTTTTCTTCTCTTTGCTCACAACACCGTTTGTTTACTACTGTCTGTCATTTTGTACATTCATATTTTTACAACCAAATTACCATTTTCAATTATTTTTGGGCCAAAAGGAATCCTTTTCGCCATAAAGGAATACTCATATGAAATTCAATAACCAAGGATTCCTTTCAATCAATTCGATGTTTATTTTCCTCTTAAACATTGACGGAAAAATTCGTTAAATATATATTATACATCGAGTTGGTTAAGGAGGTAACGGGACTGTTTCAATTTACAGTAACGTTGTTGTTTTATAGGAACTTGAAAGGAGTCCTTTTTAATTGAATTTCAGATAGGTATTCCTTTTTTTACGGAACTTTCAAGTGAAATAAGAGGAATGAGGCATACCACCCTCAAACCTTTTCTAATTTTCTAATTTTATCCTAAAAATTAGTTTGTTTATCTTCTGTATTAAAGTAAGAGTGAATTGAAATACATACGTTGTGAAACCAGCTTAGCTTTCTCCAGGGTGGGTTGGAACGGATATGGCATTCGAAATATACATCATCTCCTTCCTTGATGTCAGAGGCGTTCAGCGTACTCCCCAGCCTCAAGGATACTATTGGTGGATCTATCGAAACATTTATTTATCTTATGAATAAAATTAATGAATTTACCATTTTTTAATGATTTTATTGAGGATTAATACAGTCTGCAACACTGAAGGGCATTGGTACTAGGGCTATAGTATTCATTCACACAACATACACATAAGAAAATAAAATAATTATAAATAACTAAAGTAAAATATATATATATATATATATATATATATATATATATATATATATATATTTATCACATAGATAAATAAAAAGATAAAGTAATATACAAGATAAATAAAATAACAGATTAAAGCCGAATGATAATAAAATAAATAAAACACATTCACACCTATGTATAATATGGATTTACTAATAATTACAATAATCTAGATCTAAATAAAATTGAATTACGAATTCTGTTAGTAGAAACATGAAATACTTTATTTATGAATAGCTGAAAACAAATACAACACTCACAAACAACATGAAGATTCCAGTTTGTATCGAGGTAGAGCCCAGTGACGTTAGGATTCTCGGCTCTGCAAGTGATTGGCTTCCCATCGTCGTCAGTTGTAGGGATGAACGTTAGACGGCTCGTTGTGATGTTGGCTTCTTCACCCATTTCCTCCTTCAAAATAAGAATAGAACATTTTAAGATATATCATTAAAATAAATGTCATAATAACAGTTAATCCATTCAGCCATGGATTCATTGCAGTTGAATATGGAATATGCGGATCCTTTTTTTTTTTTTTATGAATGCATATTTAGTTGAATCATACTGTTAGATCTATTTGTGGCTTAAGGGCAGTGGCATTGGCTCAGAGGCCATCTGCTTCCAAATTTCATCCCTTTCCGCAATTCGCTGGCACTTGGAAAACCCATTGAGTCAAATTCAAACCTCTTTAGCTAGAATTCCGAAGTCGAAAGTCCTCTAAGTACAGGTACATTCCTATTTTTTTGTTCACATATTGAGCTCTATATCTCGAACGAGTATTGAATGGTGAGAGTAGTGTTAGAAAAACATCGATAGCTGAAAGAAATGTAGTCATCATAATTCCAATAATTTTAAGTACGACCTGGAAGTATATGGAAGAAGCCAAAAAGCCTTAACATTTCTTTGCTACTCTAATTTTTCTTAGAAATGAATATTTTTAGTTTTCAATAACATTGAAATTGAATAATTGAAGTACAATATTTTTTGGCATTTGGAGGTTCCTTTTAAGTGGCACTTCTACCCGTTCATACTCCACCTCTCGTTATGCTTCTAAAGAATAGGACCAAAAAAAAAATAATATATATGAAAAAAATAAACAGAGATAGGTACCCTAACTTTCCTGAGGAGCCTTTTCCCTTTGTACCAGGTGATTACAGCGGGTGGCCTCGACCCGGCAGATTCGCAGCTGATCTCGTAGCGGTTTCCTGCGACCAGCCTCTCTGGCTTGCTCACGATATTAACCACTAACGGGCGCACTGTAACAGGAAGAGCAAACTTTAAAAATAATTATAATTGCAATAATCGTTTTATTTTTTAACATACCCAACTAGTGGTCATCAACGAAACTTGGTTTTCAATCTAAAAATTCTTGATGTTTAGGACAAATGAGAAAATAGGCTCGAATTATGCACTTACGATAGAGCTGTAGGACGACAGAGGACTCCCTCGGCTCACTGAGTAAGGTGTTGTTGGCCTCGCAGCTGAAGATAGAGTTGAGGTCCTTCCTGGAGACCGCCCGCCAGTTGAGCCTGTTCTCGATTACATCCCCGGAATTGTGCTCGTATTCGTCATCGACGACGACTCCGTTCACCAACCACCGCACCTCAGGTTCCGGTTTACCTAAGCAGCGCACATATAAACCATTACAACACAAATTAAAATAATTAGAGTGTTAGGTTTGGTCGGACTTATTTGTCTACAGTTTTTGAAATACGAGGGTTTCAAAAGTATATAAGTAAGAAAAAAAGGAAATGATTTTAGAGGTATGGACCAGTGTGCAATAAAGAAACATACAGCGATGATTTGATTGAACGAGGACAAATATATAGGAAACTATATGAGGGCTGATGAAAAATTAAAGAATGAACAAGGTGAATACTTTCTACAAATAAAAGTGAAGAGACACCCATCCGAACATTACATGGGAGCACTTGTCCAAACATTTAACTTTAAGATGCAATCCCTGAACTCCTACGAATAATGTGACCACATTCAAAGCGAAAAATGAGAGAGGATACCAGGATTCGTTAAACAGACATGATGTTTGGATGAAGATGCAATCAGTATATGAAATTTGGCTAATTAATAACGAGAATGGTACTGTAAAACATTTTATTTTGATTTCATACATATGAGGAAGAGAGGTAGCTCAGTGGGTAAGCAATGACTTTCAGAGCTGAAGGTCCCAGGTTCGAATCCGGCTGATGACTAGTAATTTTTTTTCATCAGCTGTGGGTTAACCCCTGGTGCCGGGAGACCCTCCGGAGGCAAACCCAGCCTCTATAAAGTGGGTACTCCTAATTAAATAATTAATTAAGGGAGAAAAACTGGCGGAAGAGCGTGATGCTGGTCCGTCACCTCCCTGCACAACCGTTGGCCTTGTAACAGTAGTTTCTCACATTGTACTGAACCCTGTGTGAATGAGTTGTTAGTAGTACAGATTTTTTTTCTTCACATGTATGAACAATATACACACCTCTTTCCTTACAACGCTCTAAGCGAATCTTTCACAGTCTGAAACAGTGATGGAAGTCTTCTTCTGTCAGTTCCTTCAGAACGCGTACCTCTTTCTCTTTCAGCAAGAACGTGAATTTAGTAATGTTGCTTAATATTTTACCTTAAAGAACTCAGTGAAGGTAAGAAATTTCATGACTGTGGAAAAAAAAAATCACAGTTTTGTATTTCGATTTGCACATTTGAGCTTTTTTGGCTGTCGGTGAGATTGGACTTTTCATGTGCACGGATTTATACTTCGTTTTATGATCATAAATGAAAAACCACAACTCGACAATAAGCATAAAAATTAACAACAGTCAGTTGAAGCTGCGATAGGGAAAGCAGTACGTGTCCTGCTGAAGGAGCGAACGAAGGAGCTGACAGAAGAAGATTTCCAGCACTGTTTCACACAATGGAAGATTAACATGAAACACTGTAGGAATAGACGAGGAGTGTAAATTGAAGATGACAACCAGTAAATATGTATGAATTCAATATAATATATTTCATAGTCTTGTCATTAATATATCTGCGTATATTATCGTGGCGTTAGTGCCTAGTGCTTAGTATAATACTGTTATTGTTTCCATTTCTAAAGATGTACATTTATCTGAAGATGATTGACATACTGACCTCCTATGACACGGCAAGTAAGCTGTACCTCGTCCCCTTCATCAAGAGGACCCACAGTCCCGTTTAGCTGGCGTCCCCACTTGTCGAACAGGGCTGGGTACTCTGGTGGCACTGCAATAAACCAAACATTTACCACCAATCGTATCATCAGTTCACTTCATAAAACCTACTAATATATTGTAGTAATTCCCTAGGAAGGAAATCATAGTTTCAAATAACTCGGTGCCATTTTTTAATTAAAAAAAAACACACTAGGCCAAATGTCCCGAATTGAGAATATTTCAAGTTTGCAGCATTTGTTGACTTACCAGTGATAGTCAAGTTGTACCGGAAACTGCGGGTGGGTGTGTTTCTGAAGTCAACTCTACAACGGTACACACCTTCATCATGGCGACGGATTTCTTTGAGGAGGAGGCTGGCAGGTTTAGAACCTGACCGGAAGTAGGCCCTCGTTCCAAATACCTCCGGTGCAGACCAATGATTGCCATTTGAAAGGGGCTTACCTCGTACATCGAAACTGCAACAATTATGAAATTTATCACTTAACATTACAACAATATATATTTAAAAAAAAAATCTTTTTATTAGGTAATAATGCATTTTTGCGACACTTAAGGACACTGAATTGTACAGCTGAGTGAGACACAGACAATATTAGTAGAAAAAGAAGATTTATACACATAGAGTAATAGAGTTAACTTAGTAATACAAACTAAGTTAAGTGTTCCGAACTATCTTATTTTATAGCAAAAGTAATTCACGCTTAAAATGAAACATTTTCATGAAGTTACTAATTTCGTCGAGGTAATTTTTCAGAATTTTATTGGAGAAATCATCATTATCATTGCTGAATTTTTTCGTCACACTGAACATTATCGAAGTCAAATTTTATACTACTCATACGATCACAAAACTTTCTTTTTTTTAATTATTTCTTAATGATATTTACAACTGTATTAAATAAATACACCTAGTAAATTTGAACATATGGATATAATGACATGAAAACACTTGCTGAGTAACTACCCAATGGTAGCACTCTAATGATATGACTACATTAGGAGATCACGGGGCCATCTTCTTTTCAGACGCCACGGAGGGTTATCAGGAATTGAAGAGGAAGCAAAGTTAGAAACGAGTGGGTTGGGATGATTCTGAAGTTTATTATGGAAAGATAGCTATCTGGATCGGACCAGATCTGAAACATAAGGAACATTAAGGTCTTTATGGATGATTTTATTAGTGACAAAGTAAGGAGCATTGAGGATTTTACGAAGGAATTTGGATTGTAAGGATTGGATGCGAGAGAAATTCGATGGTTTATTGGAGCCCCATAGCTCAACTCCGTAAGTCCAAATAGGCCTTATTATAGTCATGTAAATGAGTCTTTTGTAATTAATTGGAAGTTTAGAGCGGTTGTCTATTAAGTATTGAAGTAGTTGGAAACGTTGAGTGGTTTCTTGTAGTTTCAGTCTGGTATGAGGATTCCACGTTAGTCGTTTATCCAGGTGGAGTCCTACGTAGCGGATTTGTTCAATAGAGATAAGTGGAGTATTGTTAAAGGAAACTTTAGCAGAGGAAGTCATTGGTTTACGACGAAGGGTAAAGGTAATTGGGGGGGATTTATTATAATTCTCCTGTTTTGACACCATTCTTCGAGATTTATGATGTGTGATTGAAGCATTTCGGATGCAATTGATGGGTCATTATTTACTGATAGGATACATGCGTCATCGACATATGTGGTGATGATAGTGTTGAGATAGGTAGGTCAGCTGTCAGATGTCAGCTGTATAAACTCTATAAAGGATAGGACCTAGCATACTACCTCGAGGAACACCAGCGGACTGGGACAAAAGGGATGAATAGGAGTTTTATTACAAAAATTAAATTATTGATATATTAACTGTGCCTAAAACGTGTTTTGTCAACCTAGGACGTTTATATTATTATTTAGTTATTCACCATTTATATTTATATTAGAATTAGATGTATTTCATTGTATGTGTCATGTGATTGTATTTAATAATAATATAATGGAGTTAACGAGTTAGTAATAGATTGGGTGATACTCTTCGAGTTTGGATGAGTATAAATGAGGGCTATGAGGCTAGGCGATGGCTACTCAACTGATATTTCTACTAAGAAGGCTCAGTAGGGGGTAAGTTGATGGAGGTAAAGCCTTGGGTAGAGCAGAAGCCGATTATGGACTAATATTATAATTAAATCAATTATGGCTGAGAAGGATTTTAGAGGCTACAGTCGGAGCCGAGGTGCCCCGCTCAATCAAATATTCATACCTCTCAGCATCTTCATACCTCCTTCCTGTCAGCATTTTCTAATCAAGGAACGCTCTTCGAACTTCCCTAAGGTAGGCCAAGTCAGTATGTAGGCCCTGAATTTATATATCGATTGACCGAAGAAATGAATGATAAAAGGAAGGTTACATGTGTGTAATCACAGATTTAAATTAAACATAGGTTGAAATATATTAGACACGAGTCCGAGAGTCCTGGCCAATGCGTCGTAGGGGCATTTCAACTTAATTTTTTTAGTAGATCAGGATATTTGTTTACCAATGACAGTCTCTATAATTTTTTAAATTACTTTATTCCTTGAGAAGCTTTCGGTGACCAGCACCATATTCATCACTATAATATAACACATTATAATCAATAAATTTAACAATTAACAATACAGTTAAATACATTTTAGAAATTGTCATGCAATTATTATCATTTTCATGCCGTACCTTATTCTATACTTTTTCTATTTAAAACATAATAGATTGGAACAGTGTTTGTTCTTCGCCTCATATTTTGTCTAAAATTATATTTAATTAAAATTAGTGATTAATTAATTAAATTGAATGAAATAAAATTAAAAAAAAAATATATTTACCGACTTTTCAGAGAAGAGGGCTCCCTTTGTCCGACATCATTTTACCGAATGCTGAACGATTACTGTCAGCACCATCTATATTAGGGGACAATTGAGCAACTAAAAGTTACCCAAGTTCCTATTTTATTCGATATATATATATATATATATATATATATATATATATATATATATATATATATATATATATATATATATGGTTCAGACAGTAATCGTTCAGCCTTCGGTAAAATAATGTCGAACAAACACTGTTCCAATCTATTTTTTTAAATAGAAAAATAAGAGAATAAGGTACGGCATGAAAATGATAATAATTGCATGACAATCTTTTAAAAAGTATGTAACATTATGTATTGTTAATTTTTAAATTTATTGCCTATTGTCTGGGGTAGGGCCAATATATAGCTAGCCGTTATATTTGATCCCTAGGTTCAAATAAAATAAATTTGAGTACTCTGTATTTGAAATCAACTCACTTTTATTTCGAAACAATCTCTACAAAGAGATTTTAGAATTTGAGACTTTTACAATTTTTACAACAGTAACAATTATTTTTCACTACCAATTAATTAATTAATTTAAACCACTACCAACGACCAAAGAAGAAGATTGATGTGGTTAAACTTAAGGACTCAGACCACCAATATTCGTATCAACAAGCTGTGGAGACGAAACTTAATGAAGAAGTAATTAATGACAGCTCTATGGTCGATGAACAGTGGAAGAGATGCAGCAACGCAATGAAACAGGCAGCAGAAGAAGCTCTTGGCTACGAGACTAAATCTAGAAGGCCCCCATGGTTTGATGCTGAGTGCCTTCAAGCAGTAAAAGTGAAAAATGAAGCCTACAGAAAGAAGGTTCAGCGTCCCACAAGGCTCTCCCAAGAAACATATAGAAGAAAAAGACGCGAAGAGAAGAGATTATTCCGCGGAAAGAGAAGAGCTTGGGAAAATAAGAACATGGAGGACACAGAGGCATTGCGAGGCCAAAATGAAAGTCGCCTGTTCTTTCAGAGAATAAACGAGGGTAGGGCAGCTTTTAGGCCCAGAGTGACGGCATGCAAAGACACAAATGGAACTCTTTTAAGCCACAAAGATGACGTACTAAGGAGATGGGTACAACATTTCAAAGGCGCATTAAACAGAGGAACGGTGCCTGGAGAAGTAGGTGTAATGAAGGAAGACTCCCTGAATTCTATTGAACCCCCGGATGAGGAGGAAATGGAAAACGCCCTGAGGAAATTGAAAAATGGAAAGGCGCCAGGCCCGGACGGAATCCAGTCAGAGCTGTTGAAATGTGGAGGTGAAGAACTCAAGAAAGCTCTGCATGATTTAATGCTGACCATCTGGGAGAAGGAAGCTATGCCTACGGAATGGGCAACAGCCATTATCTGCCCAATACATAAGAAAGGAGATCAAACAGAATGCGCTAACTATCGAGGAATCTCACTCCTTTCGTGTGCTTATAAGCTGCTCTCTAACATTCTTTTTGAGAGGATCCTCCCGTATTCTGAAAAGGAACTGGGGAAATATCAGGCTGGATTTCGAAGAGGACGCTCAACGACTGATCAACTGTTCTCTCTGAGGATGATCCTAGAAAAGACTATGGAGCGTAAGGTAGTCACCCACCATTTATTCCTGGACTTTAAAGCAGCATACGACAGCGTTGATAGAACGCAACTATACTGTGCCTTGGAGGAGCTAAGCATCCCTCAGAAGCTCGTACGCCTAATCAAGATGACCATGGACAGCTCGAGATGCAGAATACGCGTCGGTTCTGACGACTCCGAAGAGTTTAAAGTGAGCAGTGGGGTTAGGCAAGGGGATGCCCTCGCCTGTCTATTGTTCAATTTGGCAGAGGAGAAAGCTGTAAGAGACTCCGGTATTCAGACCAAAGATATAATCTTCAATCGCTTGACACAGCTTCTTGGTTTTGCTGATGATATTGACATAATAGGTAGGTCTGAACGGGCTCTCAGAGAAGCGTTTATAAGCCTTGAAGCAGCTGCAAGACCACTTGGTCTAGAAGTCAACGAGAGGAAAACTAAGTATATGAGAGTTGGCGGTGAGGTGGATCTGAACTCTCCATTTGAGGTAGGTTCTTTTAAGTTTGAGAGAGTGAAAAGTTTTATATACCTTGGGTCTGAAATTAATAGCAAGAATGACATGGCTCAAGAAATACAAAGAAGGATCACGGCTGCCAATAGATGTGTCTTTGGACTTGGCCGACACTTAAGAAGTAGGTACCTCTCAAAGAAGACCAAGCTGATCATATACAAGACCCTTGTTCGGCCTGTTTTGACATATGGCTCAGAGGCTTGGACGATGAATAAAAGGGATGAGATGAAGCTGAGTGTCTTTGAGCGAGGAGTCCTCAGAAGGATTTATGGTCCAGTAAAGGAGGGTGATGTCTGGAGGAAAAGAAAAAATAGGGAGCTCAGTTCTCTCTATGCTGACATCGACGTAGTCACGTATATTAAACTGGCCAGACTAAGGTGGGCAGGGCATGTGGCCAGAATGAGCACCCTTGAAATACCAAAAAAAATAATGATGGAGGAGCTGCACCTCCTAAGACGGGTAGGAAGGCC